TGTTTTAAGGGGAGTCTTTACAAGCGGAATAACGTACCCTGAAAATGAAAAGTATCCTCACAGCAAAGCTGGAGTGAGTTCCGTCTCTAAAGACACATGAAGAGTCGCCCGTGCCCAGGGGCAGAGCAGATGGATTTACAGCTGGCACCCGTGAACCATGAAGGGGAACCTCCCAGGCGGAGGGAGGTCTGCCTAGGAGCAGGGAAAGAGGGTAGAAAGCTGGCGTGAGCGGGCAGCGCCAGCCATCCCCAAATCCCAAGGGCGCCCCAGACCCACTGCCCTGAGATCTGGGCCCAGATGCGCCAAGTCTCACGGGAGGGAACGCTTGCGGGAAATGGCATTTATTGGAAGTTTTATTAGAAAAAATCCACACCCTCGATGGGTGACTTAGCAGAGATACAAGTTTAAAAATATCCTGCCCCTTTGCCACCAGACACATAAAATTGGCGCAGTTCCCTGTAATGAGGTGGGTCAGTTTTAAACGTGCTCCTTTTTCGTCCCTGGCAGGAGGGAGACGCGCGACCTGCCGTTGCAGGGAGTCGCGGTGTTTCTAGAACCACGACTCTCCCTCCCAGAGGGAGTACTTCCGAATTCCTCATTTCTAAGTCACCTCGGGAATTCTGGGCTTAACCTACGGAGGGGCTGGACCTTAGAGTACAACGTGCGCGTGCACACACACGCGTGCACGCGAATACTTGGCCACAGGCGCGCGCGCGCACACACGCACACAGGCTGCCTGTTCGTTCCGCCCTTGGGAAAGTGCGGTCCGGTTTTCCAAGCTCGGGGACAGGCTGGTGATTGAAATCGCACTGCTCTCAGCCTCTCCACGCGAGGGGCCCGCGGGGCGTTTCCTGCGATTGGCTGTCCCCGGAGAGAAGCGCAGGGCCAAGCAGGACCAACTGCGGCCGCGCGCACCTGAGCCCCGCCGGATCGATGCTCGGGGCCAGCGGGGCTCTAGTTAATGAGGCCTCGCGGCCGCTGCAGTGCGCGGGCCGGTACCCGCCCGAAGGCCCGCGCGATCCCCTGGAAGGCAAAATAATTGCTCCACGTGGTGGTACAAAGACATCAATGGGGCTTTGTGCACCTGACCGCCAGCTTTGCTTCCTCGCCCGGGAGAGCGTCTGGGGCGCACAGAGCACAGCGCCGGGTGTGCGGGGAAGAGGCTGTGCTCCGCAGGCTGGTTCACCAAACCCCGGGCTTTGCTGTCCGGGGTGCCGGCCCCAGAGCTGCCCCCGGTCCAGGGACGGCTGTACCCATTTGTGCTTTTCTGTGACCAAGTGTTTTGGTAAATCCACAGAGGCAGGAAAAATCCCAGTGATGTGATTTACACTGGCTGGACCCCGCGATTCCTCATTATTATGGGGGAGACTCTGCAGGGCACCTCCCACAGCTCCATCTGGCACACACTTGAAGGTTAAAGGGGAAGTGGAGGCGACCTCATGCTGGAATTTTCTTGAGCTTCCTTGAGCATCCTTTGTACCACCTGGTCAGCGAGGCAGTTCTATCCTCTCCATGATGTTTCTGGGTGTCGCTAAGATTTAAATGGCGGCGTGCTTTCTCTGGGATGTGAACACAGTATGGCCCACAGTGAGGCGTTCAGACCCTGTGTGTGGCATGCAGGCCTGTTCTCAGATTTGCTACCTCCCTGCTCACCTTAGATCAGGTGACAAAGGACTTGTGCTTGCTTCTCAGCCTTGGGGCGAATCGGTCCTTCCCTAGGTGCCTGGCATCGGTCCCTAACACAGGCCATGTGAGCTTGGGGACAACACCGGTGTGGTAACAAGCAGAACAGTGGCGACTCGAGCTGCCCCCCACAGTCTGAGAGGGACAGAGCACCAACTCAAAGGCACGGACACCCACGTGGGAAGTCAGTCACACAAGCTGTTCCTTGACATGAACTGCTTCCCTTGAACCTCAGCATCCCAGCATTCTTTCCACAGTCCCCTGGTTTTCTCGTCTTCCTAACATTTTTTTCATCCATTCATATCCCACAAAAATATCATGTTTACCCCATTTCCAGGCTGTGACCTTCAGCAAGTCACCATGTTGAGGTAAATTTGCCTAATCTTGTTTAAAATGGGGGTCACATCAGCAACCACCTTATTAAAGTCATTATGACTGACAAAAGCAAATGGAGGGAATGCGTCCCAGCACCGGGCCAGGCACACGGAGCCCCCAGGGACGACCACTGAAATGGAAGCACGTGCCACCTTCTGTCCCTCTGAGCACCAGGGACAGGGGGCTTCCCGGATGTGGAAGGAGCCCCTTCCCTGGCCTGCCCTCCCTGCAGGTCCCCCTGGACCCCTCGTGCATCAGGTCCCTGCAAACCCACTGGGCAGACCTTCCTGCCCTCTGCTCCTGCCGAGGGTCCTCATCAGCGAACCACAGCCGAGAGCGGGACAATGACGGGCACAGCGGCTGTCTGCACTTACCTGAGTTTCAGCCCCTCAGTGCGTTTCTGGGTTTCCACGGGCGAGTCTCTGGGGTCCACCAGTGACAGTGAGAGACTTGGAGCAGAACTGGGAAGAAACCCAACCCCCAGGGACCCTGGGAGGAGCCTGTCCCCTGCTAGGTGGGGGCGGCGCCCTCCCCCTCCCAGGGACGTCGACTGCACACCTGCAGGGACCAATTCATGCAGGTGGCACACTCAGACCGCGAGTACTTACTGCTGGGCACTTCCTGTCACTACGTCCCGGGTGCCCCAGCAAGCACTGGGGACCCAACGGTGTCACTACAGTGTCCCTGCTGTCGGGGAGCTGAGAACTTTGCATGGCGAGCAGACAAGACCCAACGGCAGGACATGGGAGAACCAGAGGGATGCAGACTGAAGAGGCAGAGTGTGCTGGGCACACGCGTCCGGACAGGCAACGCCGGGAGAAGCTGCCCACGATGAGGCTAATGTTGGCTCCCCGATAAATTAGAAAGCGAACCTTGTTGTCTCTGGACCTAGAATTCCCCCCACCATCGAAATGGAGAAATGTCTCCTGAGCACTCAACTGACTTCACTGTCATTCAAAAATGCTTGTGCAAATAGTCCGTGGCTACACGCACACACACAGGGGTCTAGGAAAGGATGCAGATTGTCCCTCTGATGACCGAGGTGTCTAAGCCTCCACGTCTGACTGTTGGGAATATAAGTATACGTTCGAGACAGAGAATACCATACATGTTAACCCACAACAGGCACTCCTGAGGTGTCATTAATCAGCCAGACTCGGCTGTCAGAAGCTTCCAGGGTTTCACGCATCCATCCATTCATTTACAAAAAAGCATCCTGTGCTTCTGTGGGACCTAGGTGACCCGCAGCCCACCTCAGGCCTCCCTGCCAACCTGGATCTGAGCAGCGGCCAGGCCCTCCCCTGTCCTGGGCACCCCCCCCACACACACACAGCAGCCTTTCCATGAAGAATTGCATCAACTCAGAGCCACCTGCCCCTTCGGAGCCAAGTCACGGCTTCCCAGCGGACAGTGGACTACACGTGAGGGACAGAGCAGTCATGCCAGGTGGGCTTCTGCAGTCGAGACGCAGCGCCCCCCAGCCCCGGGCTCTCAGTACCTTTCCTCGCTCCAGCCCTTGCTGAGACAACTGGCTTCGTGCCGAGGACGTCCCCAGCACCGGAAGGAAAAAGGTGGGAGCCCCAGGTGGCCATTTCCAGAGGAGACCGGAGTGGATGACAAACTGGGGCACAAATAGGAATGACGGCAGGCGGAGAAGACTCGGTGGTGACCGGAAGTGGTGGGAGCTCCAGTTCCACAGCAGAAGTGAGCTTCCAACGACCCGCAGGCTGAGAGACGTGCCACGTGAAGAAGGGACTGAAGCCAAGGGAGAGGGGTCCCGGGAGGGGGTCCCGGCAGCGGCAGGTAGGATGGGCTCCCAGAAACCACTTGCCCTCCACTGCACAGGTGTACTGAGTGCCCCACGTGCAGGATCCGAACGCACAGTCTTGAGCAAAATGTCCATGTGGGCGGCTTGAAAATCACATATGGAGTAAACACATCTATATGTATATGAACCCAGAAATGCAAAGTGATGGCAGGAAAGAGACCTGATTTTTCCCTTAAAAAAAGATTTTATTTATTTTTTAGGGGAAGGGATGCAGAAAGAGAAAGAGAGATCAATGTGTGGTTGCCTCTCACGCGCCCCCTACTGGGGACCTGGCCTGCAACCCAGGCATGTGCCCTGACTGGGACTCGAACCCGCGACCATTGGCTTTGCAGGTCTGCACGCAGGCCACTGCGCTATACCAGCCAGGCCCAGAAGTCACATGTCTGGAAAAATAGATGCTGCAACCATGTGGCAAAGTTTGGGGATTTATGTTGCCTGGCATTCCTCATCAATGATGTCATCACTGGGTTTGAAGGGCGTTGCCTCCGATTGCTGGGAACTGTGGCCTCACCAGTTAATGAACGTGTCAGTGTGCACACCTGCACTGACTTTTCTAATGACGTCCTTTTGAAATAAACTTATAACTATCCCAAAGTCATGCTGTGCCTGAAACTTACTAGCCCTTTGCCACCAGGTCCTCGTGGGAGGGACTCCGTGGGGCAGGGCGACCCCACAGCCCAGCCCAGCCACTGGGCGGAGCCCACCGAGCTCTTTTGCCCCGGTGTGTCGGGGTGAGATGAGAATCCTCATGGGTTCCGAGAAAAGGACTCCAGACAGGCCTGCAGCGGGGTCAGCGGCACCTCGTAGTGACGGGGATTCACACGTTGCCTGAATCACAGACTTTTTATAACTTCGGAGAACGCTTCACAGCCAAGGACAGAAAGCCACGTGCGGGAGAGAGAGGGGACCCGTGGGCGCGCGCCTCGTCTGATGGGGGTTGGGGGACCCACTCCCAGGGCGAGTCGGAACTCACTGCCACCCCGGGCAGTTTCGCCCTTCGGCGACTCCAAGGTAACAGTCGCAGCCATGAACGAGAGCTGTTTGTGAGAGCAGGGTCTTCGGTGAGTAAAGAACAATAGGCTTTAGGGGGAAAAAAATCACAGATACGTAAAAATGTTATTGTGCTTATTTTTTTAATTTTATATTTTATGAGGATATTAGACAATTTTCAAAGCTAACATCAGAGTTTGTTCAGCATGTGTATGTAAAGCGTAACAAAATGAAAGTATTTCACAAAAGGCCATATTACAGTACTATTGAAATACGAGGTGCGGGGTATAGACATAATACATTCATTTAAGGGAAAAACGTTTAGTATGAGTAACAATTTGGTTAAAATAAATACCGTGTAAATGTTAACAGCGGCACCGGAAATGCACTGACACAGGGGAGAGGCCTTGTATCAACCAGGCCAGTCTGCGGCGTGGTGAGGCGTTCACGGGGCTCACAACCAGCAGCCATGACGGGGCCCTTTTCTCACCCGGGGGTGCCCTTCATCTGCCGCCCTAGACCTTGGCTTACAGAACAATGTCTCCCCACCTCCTCCCCTGGGGAACTGGTCCCGGTGCCTAAATAAGGTTTAGAGTCAGAGGTACCTTTCATTTTACTGTTTCTCAAATCAATTCAAACATCTCACTTCATCCACACAAAACTCACTTATGAACAGAAATATATAAAGGCAACGTGTTATAGGTGATTATAAAAATTAGAACTTCTAATCATCTCCATAATTCTTTGAAATGATCCCATTCAGAGTTAAAATTAGTTTCTTGCACAGTGGTTTGTTCGGGAGAGAATAAGAACACTTAGATTTGAAACGAGAGAGAGAAGAGCCCACACAGCAGGTCGCCTGTGCAGCAAGTAAGCCCGGTTTCCCCGGCGCCGCCCGCGCTGTCAGCTGGAACCTTTGCTTACCTGTCTCTGTGCGGGGCGGGCCCCCACAGGAGATTCAGACCCACGGAATTTTGAAAATTACAGGAAAAAGGGGACATCTGTCCCAAGCGAAGGACATTCATCCCGTCAACCCCGGGACACGAAACTGCACAAGGCACCGTGGGCGGCAGAAAAACGACTCCCGCCCCCGCTCCGGAAGCAGAGCTGCGGGTGGTCCGCGTGAGAGTGCCGGCGTCAGCCACCAGGGCCTGCGAGAACAGGCCTCCGCCGGCGGAGGGAGCGAGCAGGGGCCCCTCCCAAGACAAAATCATCCTCCACGCACATAACCAATAAAAATACCGAGACTGATTACATTTGGGAAAAGGGAGAGTTTATATATACTTTTTTGCCCTTTCTACATTTGTAAAGTTTATAAATGACTTGACCGCATTCAAATTACTGCAGGAAAAATACTTACACGAAAGGAACAAGCCCGGCCGTAACACAGGCCAGAGGCAGGTGTTGTCCGAAGGTGAGGTCCCCACACTGCTGGGATCACCCACCCCAGGTGGCTGGCCACTCGGCCTCCGCCGACCTCACAGTGCTGGCAGGCACTGGGGACGGACCACCCACATGAGGGCACATGGGCACTCTTCCGCTCGCATTTACGGGGCTCTGCCCACCCCCTTGTCCTCAACACATCATCACCTCCGTCACCTTCATGCCTGAACACAGCACTCTGCTCAAATGCTTCTCAGCAGAACTGTCAGCTTCACAAAAACTCTGCCCGTGGGAATGGCCTGTTCCATTTCTTCAAACAAAATCTAAAATTGCAACCTCGTCAACAGAACCGAAACAGTTTCAATGTTCACAGGTGCGGTCTGCACCCCTCAGCTCACATCCTTCCTTCCTCTCCAGCGGGACCCAGTGCAGGCGGCCCGGGCGGTCCAAGTTTTAAAAAGTTTAGAAAAAAAATGTTTCCAATCCAGGAAAAGTGTTCAAATACCAAAGACTTTTTAAAGGTATTAGGTTGTCAGAGAATCTGAAATATTCACGGATAAAATGCACATACAATATAAATAAGAGAGTAGCTTGCAGAATATAAAAAAATTTCTGAAGGGGGACCAATCAGACCTTCACTAAAATCTATGAGTAAAAACATATGCTGAAACTATAGTGTACAACTATGAGTGGAGCGTTTAAACCGATAAAGAAATGGAAATGGAGTACTGCAAGATTATTGAAAGGATATTTTCCAAATGTACAAACAACAGTAAAAACACAGAAAAGCCCTGGGCCATGTGCAACTTTCCAAATTACTGTCACAACACCCAAACAAATCCTTAACCACTTTTTACACGGATTCATTTATACCCTTTTAACGCAAAGAGAGTATCGAGGATACGAAGACAAAACGAAAGGAGGTGAAAAACTCTTCAGTGTCTGACTCACATCTCGTCCCCCGATGTTTTCACATTTAAGAGCTGCATTTGCAATGTATGAGCTAAGAATTTTAAATGCTTCTCAGTTTATGTTGACGTTTACCTTAAGAATTATTTAAATGCTACGGTGCTAAGAACTAAAACACATACTTCAACTTTTAAAAATAAAATAGTCACCCAAGTTTACAATTGTGTTCATGTCAACTGCCCGTGGAGGGACTGAGGGGCCCGCGGTCCGTGGCCCAGACACCACTGCGCAGGCCTCGCAGGAGGGGACTGTCCAGTGAGCGGGATCTGACCGCAACTTGCGGGCACACACATCGGCGCGCAGACCTATGTCCCCCGAGAGCTACCACGGTCCTTTCACTCTCCCAGCATGCAATCCGATCACTCCAGAGTCACTTGGGTTTGCAGGAAGGCGACTTACACGGGTACAAAATGAAGCCTGGATGAAAACTGGTTAAGGATTCAAAGCGCGCGAGCTCCTGCGCGTCCACGCCAAGTCCACGCCGACACCCCAACGGAGACGCGGGCGCGGCCTGCACGGAGACACTCACTCCGGTCGGCGGTGTCGGTGACGCCCCCGGCGCTCAGCTGCTCGCGGTGCAGGCGTGCATTCTTTTGGCCACGTCGTACACGTAGGTGACGTCCGGCCGCTTCTCCGGGTCTGGGTTGATGCACACGTTCACCAGCTGCCGGAGCTGCGGACACAGGGCGCCGCGCTTACTGGGGACGCACAGGCTGGGGCGGGACGACGCACCGGGAAAGGACGTGCCCAGAAGTACGCGCGACCGCGGCCCGACCCCGCACAGTAACTCGAAAGTCCTACGGGGTGTATTCGTGGGTGAGCACGAGTGGCCAGATGAAACGCTGCCCTATCTGACGGCATGGATGCACCTGGAGCAGGTAGTGCTAAGCGAAGTCAGTCAGCCAGGAAAAGTCAAGAGCCACCTGGCTTCACTCCCATGTGGGGTGTAAAACTGAAAACCACAGACAAACAAAAGCCAAAAACAAACAAAACCTCACAGACACTGGCGGTCACCAGAGGGAAGGAGGTGGCGGTGGCACAGGCCGGAGGGGACCACAGGCTGGAGGGGACCAAATACACAGGGACGGGAGGAGGCTTGGCTCTGGGAGGGGGGAGGCGCCCAGCGCACACACAGCCCTGTGTCTGGAACTGTGACACCTGCACAATCTAATTAACCAGTGTCACCCCAGCAAATCTGATTGTTTCGAAAGCAGTATTTTCCACAATCAGGAGCCAGATTTTTTTTTTTGCCTTATAAGTATGCCTTTAGGAATAATTTAGATCTTTTGAAAATGTGCATTAACTCTTTCTGGCCGGCACAGAAGCACGTTCTAAATTATCGAATCACTGTGGTTTCTTCGCAGCCATCAACCCCTACCATGACATGTGTTCATCCAGAGGAAACCGGAGCACTGACCGAATCTGCGGGGTGGCCCACCCACGGACGTGAGTGTGTGAGCAGGGGCAGGGCCTGGCCAGCAGCCACGACAGGGAGGGGGAGACCAGGCCGAATATGCAGAAGGTCCTCACAAAGCCAGAGAAGAAAAAGCTGCTTAATTCACATGCAAGAAGGAAATTTAAAAGGCAATGCAGAAACATTTAAATGAGGAAAAGCGTACAAAGTAAAAATAAGATGAATTATTTATATCATGTCCAGAGCATTACAAAATCATAAGGCATGTGGAAATTAATGACTATTTGTTGTCAATAAAGTGGGAAATAGTAATATATTGTGATCTATGTATTTCTAAAAAAATATCAAAGCCGGGAGGTTGGCACCAAAAACGTGACAAAGAAGAGCGTGTTCTCAGTTGCTGTCGGGGCGGTAACCCAATTACTAGCAAGTTCAATCACATGCAGGAGACGACGATGGCTCTCTGTGCATTACAGCTCCAGGTCACTAACTTGACTCTCCACGGAATAATGAAGACGGCAGTGCGGGCACTGGGTCTTCTTCACCCCCGTCTTCCTCCCTCTGAGACCAATTACTGCATCGGCCTCCCAGACATGGCCCCGCTCCATCCAGCCAAGGACACATGTTAGCACCCAAAGCGGGTCTAATGCGTGAAAGCACCGTATTCCGGTGCTTTGGGTCTTCACACAAAGTGACTCGGCGTCTCCAGCCTGTACACGGCAGTGCCCCGGTGACAGGCCTGGGGACAAGCGAACAGGAAGCAAAGCGACTCACATAGATGGGAGGCACATAAGGGCTACGCCACAGCCAAAGGTCTGCCCACATCCTTCAGAAGCTGGGCAAGGCCACGGGAGCTGCTCGGTTCCACGGGACCCCACGGGACATGGACACAGGGCCTGGGGCTGGACTCGTGTCTTTAAGGGGCAAGTCCCCTGACTCACCACAGAAGCCTAAGTGGACAAAGGGCTTAACTGTCTTTTTTAAACAAACAGGAGACATTTGAAGCTTAAAGATCAAATCTATGTGGCAACTTTCAGTGAGGTGGCCCACCTGCATCACAAATGACGAGAATGTGACACTCACTGAACCGTTTCGGGAAGGAACCAAATGCTACCCGTGTGTGCGAGGAAACACACAATCCTGAGATACTTTTAGCAAGTGGCACAGTTACGTGTTACATGTAGAATTGGCATGGATCTCCCTCTATGTTTCCAAGTGGGGCAACTCTCACCTCCCTCAGCACTGATCACAGAGTTATAAGCACTACAAAGTATCGGTGAACACACATTCGCCTCCCGACACAGTGTGGGCCAGGGGATCCGAGGTCAGCCATTTAAGGCGTCCTGGCACAGCGGGCTAGGACCGGTCTCCAGCACCACTTTACATAACGTTGGGTGGTGCTCGGTAGGAACTACAGGATTTACACAGTTTTACTAAAATCAGTGAATCCAGCAACCATAAGATAGAGCCGTTTAGACTGCTCAACTGAATAACAAAGTTTTATAAATTTAGTTTTAACTTCACAATATGCAAACAAACCCATACCTGATACTTTTCCTCTTGTTTTTTTTTTTCTTATTTACATAAAGCAGCTCTTTTATGAGCTAACACTAGGGTCACGTGTGTTGTTGCTACTTTTTTAACAAAGTTAAAAAGCTTCTTTAAGAAGATTCTGAATTCAAATAGAAATGATTCATCAATGTCCGGTAAAAAGTCAGTCGTCATTTGTAAGGCTTTCATTTCGTGTTTTCCTTTCCTTACAGGAAAGGTAAGGGTGGCAGGATCACGGCAAACGGGAACGTTCTCACTGCTCCGCGTTGCTGGCAGAGGTGTGTGCGCAGCCTGACGGGTAAGCTCCACCCCCCGCCCATCCTTCTGTCTCTCCCTCCTGCCCTGTCGCTGTTCCTGCCCCCGGGTCCCTATTCCCCCCCCCCCCCCCCCGTAAAAGGGGAGTAAGGCCCTACCCCGCCTCTCGAACAGGAGCGCCCCCTAATGGGTTGAAGGCAACCGTGCGTTCGGAAGCTGACCACTCAATATTCCTGTTTCATTGGAACCCCCGTGGACTTCCACTCTGAAACGGCCTCCGGACACCCGAAATCAGTTTAGTTGAATTAAAATCCAGGTTATTACTCTCGTATTCGCACAGAGCCCAGCACAGAAGAGGCCCTGTGCTTCTCTACCCTTGGAGACGACACTGAACCCTGGGCTCTCCGGCACCTCCCCAGGCCCGGGACGGCGGGAGGGGGCCCTCTGCTCCTCTTGTCCTCTTACGGGCGCCAGATAAAAAGGACAGGCGTGTGGCGTTGTCTCGGAGAGGAAAACAAAATGCTGGAAGCTGAGGTTAGGGAGCCGGGAGGGGGACTTCGGAAAGGGAAGCGGTGTCGTGAAGACAGGGCGACCAGTGGGCCATCCCATAGGATGTGTAGGGGCAGGTTGGAGGTGGGGGGGGATCACGGGGCCTGACCCCGGTTTGGCTATAACACTGACACCTAATGACCCAGTCTTCTGATCAAAAGTGCGGTTTAAAAACTTCATACTTCACTCTTCCCTGTTTCTTGTATTTACCACACTAAGAAATTAAATTCAATGTGGAGTCTCGTACGAGCTGAGCTCAAAGCCCCACCGTAAGAGGAAATGTTGCGGACAGCGCTGAGTAACAGCAGCGCCAAATCTGTTTGGGTGTTTTCTGTGTCGTGAGTTCTGAGTAATTATTTCGCAGAGTTCCGACTTAAGGGGAGAAAATATTTATTAGCACATCTGCACTTCAAAGCTCTGCGTCCAAGTGCGCTCCGCAGCTGAACAACTGAAGGCGCAGCGTCTGCACCTGCTACCCCTCCTCTGCTGGGTAAGGACCGGTGCCCATCTCTGTCCAGACGTTACCTCTTTCTGTTTCACGGGCGTGACAAGAGTCTACCGAGGAGAGGAAGCGACCTCTTCCTGGGATTTTTTTGGAAAGGACACCAGATCACACGTTTTGCTTGGTGTCTCCTTTTCAAACCGGCCACGCTACGGGGGGACATGAAAGGGGAAGCTGCTTTGCTTCCCAACCCTAAGACCTTCCGCCCGGGCCGGCTTTGATCCCTGCCCCTGGGCCGGCCGCCGCAGCTCCGACTTCACACCGGCTGCGGAGAAGTGACCCCGCAGGCAGGCGCGCCTGGATCAGCGCGAGCGCAGCGTCATTAAAATCCCCGCAGAAGGTCACCATGGTAACCGCCTGCTGAGGCCTTGCTGCGCGCTCGGCACCTCCTAATCAGCTACCATGTGAAATGCAAATGCAGACAGTCTGAAAATTAGTCAAGAAGAATGGGGGACGACGCTGCAGATTGGTGAAATATTCATGCGCTCCGCGGAAGAAGGAAGACAGCGTGAGTGACACAACAAAGCAGGGACCCTGACACCCTGCGATCACTCCGCGGGGCTGTTCACACCCTCCTGCGTCTCGGGCCCAGGGCTCTGAGGCTGGGTTTGCGAAATGCCATGCTTCTATGCCATGCCCAAAATAGTAATTAAACGGCCAGCAGAATAGCCTGAGCATCCAGTACAGACAGTACTTTTGAGTGATCGCCCCCGCCTGGCGAGAGTGCATTCTAGCTGCCTACGCCCCACGCTATGGAACGGAAAGCAGGCATCACTGATCAGCAGCAAAACCGCCAGAAAAGCAGGCACTTGAAACATTCCAAGCCCCCAGATGTTCTCCGTGGTAAAAAGGCTTTAGTGATATTTGTTACCCAAGTCACACTGACTCAATTTTCCTTACACATGTCTAAAACCGAGGGCTACTCATTTCAAAACAGAAAGAGGGACGCCAGACCACCTGATAAACAAGTGTGGTAACTGCTTTACAATTTCCTTCCCACTCTTCCAACACAGAAGGCTTTCCCTCGTCAGAAGGCGAGATGCCCCAACTCCTGACAGTGTCTTCTCCAGGGGACGGCCAGCAAGCTTTCGGGAAGGAGGCCGTGAGCCTGAGCTGGCCTGAGACCGCTGTTCGCCCAGCTCCTTCTGAATTGGTGAAGTTGGGCAGAACTGGTGAAGTCGGGACCTAACTGGGAAGGTCAGGACCTAACTGGGAAAATGAGGACCTAACTGGTAAAGTCAGGATGGAACTGGTGAAGTCAGGACAGAACTGGTGAAGTCAGGACAGAACTGGTAAAGTCAGGATGGAACTGGTAGAATCAGGATGTATTAGGTTAAAACGGGGCATTCTGGGTAGAGCCAAAACAATTTGTTCCACTGGGTTACCGAGGCAAGTGAGGGTTCAGACTCGGATCTTAACAAGACAAGTCTTCTAAAATGTGCCCTCCTAACCCGGCCACTTCTTAGCGTGTGGACAGTGAGAACCTCAGCACGTGTCCCCACGGGAATCTGAGTGCACAGTGAGGTGGACACGAGACTGGCCCTGTCAGAGGAGGGGGGGTTGGGCTGAGAGTGTGAGGCTGGGGACAGGCGGCCAAGACAACTGTTTCGATTTCTGAAAAACATGAACCAGCGAGCTCTGCCGAGAAGGAAAAGTTCTGGCCGCCCTGCCCACCGTCCGGAGATGGGGCGCGGGAGGAGCTGCCCGTGAGCAGGGCCCCCCTGCACCACTCGGCCTGGGCCGCTCAGGGCCCCAACTAGGCCTGGGCGTGTTCGGTCACCCTAGGAGATGGCCAAGTCTGCCCCATGGCGGTGACCACAGAGAAGACAGCCACTCCTGCCACCCGGCCTTGCAGCCACATGCATTTGGGGACACAGGGGCAATTCTCAGCACCACGCACTGTTGGCCAGGGCCGCTGGGGGGCACGCGGACAGGAAACACTTACTTCCTCCGAATAGTGGTCTGAAGGGAGGGGGGGGTAGTCGCACTGCTCGATCTTCTTGCACAGCGAGTACAGGTTCATCTTGTCGCCGTAGAAGGGACTCTGCAGTGCCGCCATCTGCAAGATGCCCCAATGACACAGCACAGTGAGAGGTCATGCCGGGGGCGGTTTCATCAGGCGTTCACGCGTGTAGAAAAGAACGCCAAACACTTTTCAGAAAGTGAGCTGGGGCTTTTGACTTTTACAAACACCCCCTTTCTGGTCGTTCTTTAGTAACTTCTCAAAATCGTACTTCAGCTTTTGGTTAGTTTTTTCAACATTTAAAATTCCCTAAAAGGGAGACGTGATTAACAATATTTATTTATACACGCAACATAAAACAATATAAAGGAAGAACAACATAAAGTAACTTAAGATTCTTCGTGCCTGCAATGCCATGAAAGGCACTAGTATTATCTTGTGACTAAACAGACATTGGTGGCTTACATCGAACATGTAACGGCCAAAAAATAACCAAAACGAAACCAAAGTTCGTTTGGGGACCAGCAGGCGCAGGTTTCTCCTGCGCAGTAGCTGCAGCCGGAAGACAAATCTCCACCGGAACGAGAAGGATCTCAGGCAGGTTACAATGACTTAGAGCTTTCTTTCTCTTTTGATAACGCCTCAAAAACGCACTAAACGTGCTCAAAAGCGCTGCGAGTCAGACGCTACCTCGAGGCATCCGAATGAGATTTCTAATGCAGGGGAAAAAAATGGCTCACAGAATGAACAACTTTAAAAAAGACATGATGGAATTTCAATGTGTTTCCAGACAAGGTTGCAACTCGACACTTTTAAAGTGCAAGCAGCGGCCGCGGTGAGCAGGGTTACAAACGAAAAAATCGATCCGGAGCCTCTGCATCCGGCTCGCAGCCTCCCCACCCGCCCCCCCCCCCTGGCCGCAGTGGTGGGGTGTCCGTGGGGTGTCCGCAGAGCCGCCGGCGCCCCGGAGCCAGTCACCCTTTTCCACGTGCTAATAAGTTTGATTGGGGGAGGGTGGCGCGAGCGCTCCCCAGACAGGCAGAGAGTGTGTGAAACACGCTGGCCCGTGCTGTGCTACTCAGTGGGCGTCAGCGGGGACAGGACGGCTGCAAAGGGCTCTCAGCTGCCCGCAGCTTAACCCCCTCGGAGCCGGGCCAGGAGGGCGGCCTGCCCACGCCGCCACAGAAAGCCCCCTCGGGAGCGGTGTCCCACCCGAAGAGGAGAGAGTGAACGTCTGAGTGTCCCCAAACACGGGAGACACTCCTTCAGAGAGGGAACTTCGAAGGGAGGAGCTGCGGGCAGAACCACATTTTGGGTTTTCCGTTCAAATCGCGAGGGCGCGTACTGACCAACTGGACAATGAGAGCCCCGGCCGTGTGTCCACTGCCCCGTCCCAGAGGGCGAACACCCTGAGTGTCCACAACTCAGCTCCCTGGGCCAGGGGTCCGTTACAGGACTTGTCTCAATGCTGCAGTATTTAAAAAAACAAATAAAGTAAAATAAAATAAAATAAAACCCACACCAAAACCCAGAACGTCCCCTAAGGAGTTAAACAGCAACGGTCTCTTTCCATGCATCTCCTGCTTTGACAGATGAAAAATGTCAACTGCCCTGTTTTTATTTTCCAGCTTTTGCACTATTCATCTGGTTCATTAGTGCCTCTCCGCGCCGCCCTGACAGCTGCTCGGCCGCGCGCCCGGCAGCTGAATTTTTCAGGCTAATTTGATCCTCCACACTGAGACGATCGCGGGATGATTGACTCGCTCCCTGACCTCCGGGGTCCGGCTCTGCTGATTAGTATTCCGGGGGCGGCGGCGGGCCGAGAGCCCACTGTCTATCTTCGTGGCTGGTGGCAGCTCTCTCTTTTTTTGAACTGTAAGCTACCAACCTACAACCCTGGAAGGATGCGGTTGCCGAGCCGAACAATAAAGGGAGTGTGTAGAACTGACTTTTCCATGTAAGGGGCCGTGTAGGAGAGCAGAGCGTCTCCGTGTAATTAGGAAAGTCTACTTTGTTGCATATCAATTAAAACGGCAGTGCAGGGTGGGTTTCTTTTTCTTTTTTTTTTTTTTTTTGAGGTTTCAGAAATATTTGAAAGTCTAATTTTCTGAGTTTCCAATACATTTTCAACAGAACAGGCTTCCGACGCCGTCATTGTCAACTCTCAGTGGGACACAGGGTGGAGACTCGAGGTCCTGTGAGGGCCAGCTTTTTAAAGCCCAGTGACCGGGTGTTTCCAGTAAGGTGGTATTATTAAAACCAAACTGGAAGCAGACACAACATAAACGTAAATTAAATCTTTAGAAAATTCCAGCTCTTCCAAATGCCCTGCATGCGGGAACGGAGAAAATGCACCAAGATGAACACGAATGTTAACGTGATAAACACCTGAATTCAAAGTCACCCACAGCGCAAAGGCTCCTGGATGCAGGAGCAGTGCCCGCTCGGGCGGTCACTGTCGGTGCGGAAGGGCGGGCTCGAAGGGTCACTTCGGTTTTGACGTGAGAGCCTGCTGGCCCTAAAAGAATTAGGCAAACTTCACAAAAAACACTTACCGCATCTGCCAAACTGCTTCATTGCTAAATTTAATCCCACGAGAGAAGTTCTATGTGGCTGTTTATTTTAGGTGTTTAAAAGGAAAATGTTGCTTTGATACTATTAGACTATGGCCTGAAGGAGTCTAAGGATGACTAAACAGGAGCAAAATGTTTTAGAATGTATAGTGTCTTTAAACATTATAGTAACTCTACATAATCAATTCAGTTCTTTTTAACACTGTACAAAATTATTGACAGGACATAGTGAGCATAAATCTCTTATCTGCATACACAAAAGTATTTGCTATATCACTAACTCATGATTTTTCAGAATAAAAATTATCCTACAGATATAATTTAAGGACATTTGAAAATCCTTTCTTTTTAAATAACCATTAGTCACTTTAGTAGGGAGAACAAAATGAATAATCTCTTAAAATTTGGAAACATGGAACTGCAATCGATAAAATAATAATAATTAAAGATTAAAAAAATAAACACACCCCTTCTCAGGCTCCACTTCCAAGTGCGTGTGGTGCCCTGGAAAAGGGGCCTCCCTGTGTGTTCCATTTAAGAGGCCAAGACACGATCAGAGTGGGAAACACACTGGTTCCTCTGTACCCACTCGGACTTCCTTCGTGTGCGTTAAAATGGGAACGTGACTCCATGTATTATTTCCCTTCACTTTATTTTACTGAAAGAGTCACTCGAATGTAGGCTCCTTTTAAATCAACGCCTTTAACTCAAAGCCCATAAACCTACAAGGATCCCCCTTCAGTAAAATGACAGCGTCACTGGCTCAAGACGCCCCCCCCCCATGCTGACAGTCTGCACAGGGGCGAGGGCCCGCCTGGGTCACCCTGGGTCACGGCGCTGCAGTGTCTGCCAGAGGACCCAGCCCCGCGACCCCGCGTCCTTTGGATGCCTGAGCAATAGCGCAATAGCAGAACGGGAGGGAGTGTCCCGCCGAGCTGGGCCCATACAAACTGTTACTGGAGGAAGTGAAATTAAGTGATAACCTAGAAGTGGGCTTGTGTGTTCTGCTTAACGCCCAGCTGTTCTATGTGGGAGGGGGGAAAGGGGGTGATAAAGACCTTTCCCAAATTTCGTGGGTTAGACCCGTTCCATTGCGCCTCTCCTGAACATGCCCGGGTAAGCGAGTTTCTCCCCAGATGCTCAGACGCATATTTGCGTAAGTAAGATGTGCTGGAAGACAGCATAGGACCATTTTTTAAAATATTAAAAATAAAATTCTCATCAAAAGAGAAACAATTAAAAATCCATTCGAGAAAGTAAATATGCAAGAATGCATGGCTTATTAAATTCTATTGTAAAAGCAGTTACTGAGAGAGAGAGTGAAGTCTTCACAGTTAAAACACTAATTGCCGATCACCGCCCAGGAAAACGAAGCGCAGGCCGTAAGGACGGGGGAGTGTGGTGCAGTCGGCAAACTGCTCGAGTGCACTGCTCGAGTGCACGCCGTCCTCGGCGGGACCCACCTCGTACAGGAGACAGCCCAGAGACCAGACGTCGGACTTGAAGTTGTAGCCGTTCTCGTGGATCCTCTCGGGAGACATGTAGTACGGCGTTCCCACTGCCGCGCACAGACCGGGGGAGACAAGAGGGACACAAGAGTGAGGAGGGTGCAGCCGGGTGAGAAGTTACATTCAAAATTCTGGGTTGAAAATGTCACCAAGGTAATTCATGACAGCCAGAAAACTGTCTTTGAGGATACTCTGAAGTTTCGAGTTTCCTCTGCACCCCTGACCCTCACACGGCACCTGAACGTCCACCCTGCACTGACGGGGGGGTGGGTGGGGTCAGCTCCAGCCTGTCTCCTCCTGGTCCCCAACCCAAGGAGCATCAGGGAACAGCAGCACCGAAGGGGGGAGAGGCATTCTAACAAGGAAACCTGGGGAAGTGATTCGCAGGGACTTCATTTCTCTCTTTTAAAAAAATACAGGATTGCATACCCCGAATAAGCACGATAATGCAATGCTTCATTTAAATATTAACGTATAACAATGGTATGGGTGTAGGCAGAGTGTGCATAAATAAGTCACACTCATTAACTTTTGTAGAAACATCTCTCAGAACACAAGGCCACTCTTAAATTACAAACCATACAACCATTCCCTACTTCACTCACTCCTACTTCAGACAGAATATAACAGACTTCCCTACATCAAAGGGTTACCTAATGATAAATGGGAAAGGTTGCTGAAATCTCAGAAAAAATGTCAGTTGGTACCGCTACTGAGACCTTTTTAGAGACAGGATATTCTAGATAATTTGGGGGTTTGTTTGTTTGTTTTGATGTGTTAAAATGCCTTTTCCCTGTGCGCATTCAAGATAACGCTAACAGTAAATGTCAATAAAATAAATATTAAACATTTAACAATAAACAAAGGCATATGCATTCTATTTGGAAGGGTAAAACTATGTATGGCTTTCAACGGGAATATATTAAATTTCAACCTATTGCACCATTAGTATGAGCCTAAGGCGCTTTTTTTGCCAAGTAGAAAATCAAAGTTTGAGAACAATATTTGAGGATCTGAGTTGCCTGAAGCAGCAGCCACCCAAACACATGGCTACCCTGTTCCCCGTGGAGCCAAGGAAATTCTCCTCTTCCTGTTCCTTTCCAGCAACACCCAGGCATTTCCTGCAAATCCGAGTACGACCACCATGGCTCACGAAGCGGGGCTGGGGTGTCTGGTGAGAGGCAGCGAGGACAGCCCCCCCTTACGATCCAAGCCTCCACAGCAGAGGCGGGAGTCAGTTTTCCAAAATTAGAATAGACAGCCTTGCGGCTGAGTGCAGAGATGACACCGGGTTCAAGGCGAAAAGGTCACGGACCACGGTTCACAGGAAATGTGATCTGGGTGGGATCCACTCTCCCTAAAACCCCAGTGGCGGTCAGGCCTCAGGTGCGGAGGATGAGGAAAGGGGACAGGCCAACGGGGAACAGCGGGAGCTGAGACAGAACGTGGGCTCTTCAGATGCGGCGCCAACGAGGCAACTCGACGAAACAGATTCCTGACGGGCAGCGTGTGCTTTGCGCACAGACACGCACATTTGGCACTTGCCGTCTGGGTCAGAAAAGTCAAGAAACCGAGAAACTGCTGGGTGTGAAGAGGCTGCCCTGTTCCTGGGTGACACCGAGGGGGGCTCTCTGGCTCCTGCACCTTCCCCCGAGTCTGCGTGAGGAACGAGGGCTGCGCACAGGCACATGCTGTCCGGACAGGGACACACTGTTGGGACAGGGACATCTCTCTGCGCGCCCGCAGGGCAGCGGGACGCCAGACTGAGAAAGGCTGTTTCCAGGCTCCTGGGAGCCGGGGGCTGGCCAGGATGGAGGGGCAGAGAGACCCCGTGCAGCCCCCAGAAGCCTGACCCATCAAGGCTCGGAGGGGCGGAGTTCGCGGGAAGGGAAGGGGAGTTTCCTGCAAGCTCTGGGGAGCCTGTGGCCGTCAGGGCCCAGATACTCCAGATACTACGTGGAAGAGGGCTGAGGGCCCGAGAGAGACAGACACAGGCCCAGGACAGAGACCCGCCCGGCATCGTGTGGAAAAGGCACAAAACCCAGACCAGCTGGCCGTGCACGTGAGGTGAACAGAGGAGAAGAATGATTATGTTTTCTGCAGAACTAAACTGAAAATGTCAAAACACTGAGTAGACAAGAAAGCCTCTGGGAGCTGCTGAAGGTCTTCATGAAAAGTTACAGACTTTTAACGCTCCTAGTTAGAGCTTAGACACAATTCTTCATCTTCTTATAAGTCACAAGCTCCTTTATACTACATATGCATATTTTATTTTAATATTTAAATTACATACATCCCCAAAACATGCTGAACCGTAAATCTAAGTGAGCTGCTCACCACTTTGATGGACTCATTTCCCAAGGCGTCCTTACGTCAGCAGCAGGAGAAAGTCTGTCCTGCACTTCAAGGACTCACAGTGTCAGGTCCAAGGGCACCCAGGGGGCTCAGGCCTCGGAGGGCCAGACCCTCTCTCGGGCTCCTGCCCCCACACACACGCTCCGTGCGGAGCAGCGGCCAAGACTCTTCAGAGCAAGGCCCGCCTTCCCTGCTCCGCCCGCCGAGGGGCCAAACCATGCAAACTGCTCAGGAAAACACGCCGGCACACGGAGGTTTGCCATTTCAAAGTTAGTGCGTGTGTGATTATTTCTTAAACCCTTTCTCTAGAATCCCGAACAGCGGCCTCTATTACTGCTGCTGCCTCAAGGACGTTCCTGCCGGAAGCTGCGTGGGGGGGGGGGCATGTGCGGAGGCAGGAACAGGACCCCACAGACAGCCGTGGACGCAGGAGCACGGGGAGCACGCAGGCCCTGGGAGAGCTTGCAGCTGCAGCTGGGGCGGGAATCTACCAGACTCCAGCAGATAATCCACGTTTTCACCTCCCCACATGCGTGAAAGTGAGGAACAAAGGACAGCGTTGTTTAAAAAAACAGAAAGGCTAATATTACGGGAAAATTGCTAATGACTGCAATGCTCTCTGCCCTTTTAAAAAAATACACTAAGGCAGTTATTCAAATATTAAAAAACTCTCATCACATGAATTGACTATTCAAGCTCCGTGAGAAAAGTTTTACATGGGGTGTGTGCTCTGTTAACAAGAAGTGTGTCCTAAAATTTGCCCTGGCCAACGAAGACTGATTTTACCTCAAGTTCTACCGCACATTTAACAGAATGAACAGGAAATCCCCTCACCTGCTGCTACTGTGGAACGCAGGGCTAAATTCGGTAACAACTTTCATGTCATCAGAATAAGTTATACACAGAATGTTTAGCTTAAAACCCAGCACCGTCATCCCTGCACACATTTCCATGAGGAAAAAGACCAGATGCACCGAAGCATCACTCAGGTGATCACATCTGCGTTGCTCTTTCCTTGTTTTTGGTAAATGGGAGTCAGGACAAAATTGGCCAAAGGTCGGGGAGTCTGGCCTCATCTCCCCTTTGCCACTAACTAGCCGAGAATGCCCAACGTCTCTGTTTATTCGCGTTCCTTGTCCATGAGAGGCAGGGATGGGGAGGTCGAGGCAATTTCTGAGACCCCTTGGCCATGAAGCCCACAGGGTTCACAGGGACCCGAAGGAATCCGCAGGGAAAGCCAGGAGGAAGAGCAGGGAGTCCTTCTACACCGGCGCCCAGGACAGCTGAGGGACGCGTTTGGATCAGAACATACAAACCAGTCGGGTCAGTTTAGAAACTCGGCTGCTCTCCCTTCGAATCAGAGCCAACTGCAGACAGGAAAGCTCCGGGCTGGGGAAATTAAAAGCCCACGAGTCATCTGACACTTTGGCTTGATTGAAAACATGCACAGACACGACTTCAGGCTGTGTGGCAGATCTGGGATTCTTCTACAAAATACACGCATTACATAAAAGTTGTCATCTGTTAAGTGTGACTGTTAACATTTAAGAGCTTGAGTTAATGCAAGGGGAAAATCCAGGAAATTCTATCGTTACTGACTCCTATGGTAGATCCTCTGCCCCAGCACTGCGCTGAGGGCCGTTAGACGTCCAAGCGTTAACTTGCTGCACATCTAACGAGCCCACCAGACCTGCCCCAGGGCCCACACTGTCCTCGGTGCTGGAGACAGGAGGAGGCAGGGAGGCCCTTGGGCCCGTGGGGCCCGGGGCCGGGGAAACGGGGACTATCACACAGCAGCTGCCACACTGCTGTTTCGTCTTCCTTCAGGATGGAGGCATCGGGGGCCAGGCGCTTTGCCAAAGACCGCAGACCCCATACGGTGCAGACCCGGAACTCAAAGCAGGTAGTTCTGAACCCTGCATCCACACGCACGGCTCCTTCACTGAAACTTCATTTACCTTCACTGGAAATATGACTGAAAAAGTCTGCATCTTCCCAAACGAAGAAGCACAGCAACGCTACACGCCAGAGCCTGCAAAGCCAGGAGCGAAGGTCCGGCTCAGTGGGCCGCTGTGAAATTACATCCGCCGCAGTCACTGCGTCTTAGATGAACACTTGAGACGGCCGAGAGGTCAAAACCAGAGAACAGCTTCTTCCCAGAGCAATGGTTTAATCCCAGAGAGGGTGGGAGTTAGAAACAGCTGAAAGTAGCCTGCAGCACAGACTGAGCATGCGCGGCCATGGCGCCTCCGGGCCTCGCTGGCGGCTGAAGGGCGCACGGCGCAGAGGGGCTGGGCGGGTTTGGGGAGCCACCGTGTGGCTGTGGTGGCAGCGGGCCCGCCAAGTGCAGCTGTGTGAACGCCTGCTCAGAACACTTGCTTTCCGAGTTGACGTCAGAGGACATCTCACACTTGAGACTGTGTGGGGAGCATGAACTGCACACCCTCGAGAGGTCCTGGTGTGAGAACTCTGATGCTGGTTGGTTGGAGGGGACGTGCACTCGCTCAGCGGGCACACTCACCAAGCCAGAGAACGGCGCGCCGCCCCTGGGGGCACCGCGAAAGCAAGGAGAACGCCGCATCGGAACATCGCTCCTCTCCTTGTTCCTGTCTGGCTTCCCCTTCCACCAGAGGAAGCGGTCACACGGGAACGCACCGTCGTGCACTGTAAGTGTGGCTTTGGTGGAAAGAGATTTGCTGTACTAGCAGGTAACTGCCCCCAGTTACTCGGACACACCCTCGGAGTCTGCAAGGTGGTCAGACCGCACAGCAAATTAATTTTTCTAATGAGGTCTTTTTAAAATCACTTCTCCCTCCTTCTCTGCTTCAGTCCACGGTGGAGTAGGCCTCTCAGAAGCAGGATCAGGACTAAGAAGAGAAGCCCCTTGACAATTAAATAAACTTCCTTATTTAATAAAAAAGAACTAATAATAAACTAACAGTAATGATAGAAAAGGAGTGGTTTATAAAATTTATATTTTGCTAAGTGTAGTATTTTCTTCCTTAAAAATAAAGGTACTTCACAACGCAATAAAGGGGTTAATCCAACAAGAGGATGTAACATTTGGAAATATTTATGAACCCCACAAACATTAGATATACAGCAAATATTAACAGAAAGAAAGGGGGAAATGGACAGCAGTACAGTAATAGTGAGGGACTTTAACACCCACTTACACCAATGGATGGATCATTCAGACGGGAAATCAGTAAGGAAACAGTGGCTTTAAACGACACAATGGGCCAGATAGACACAACTGATACACACGGAACATTCCATCCAAAGCATTGGATACGCACTCTGTTCAAGTGCATGTTGAACGTTCTCCAGGACAGATCACACGCTAGGACACGCACCAATTCTCAACAAATTTCAAAGGACAAAAATCGCAGCAGGCATCTTTACCAAACAAAATGATATAAAACTAGAAATCAATGACAAGGAGAAACCTGGAAATAACACAAACACATGAAGACTCAGCAATATGCCATTAACAACCAATGGGTCAACAGAGACATCAAAGAGGAACTCAGAATATACCTTGAGACAAGGGAAAATAAAAGCACAACACTCCAAAATCTCTAGTGAGCAGCAAAAGCAGTGAGAGAGAAGTTCAGAACACCACAGGCCTACCTCAAGAAACAAGAATAATCCCAAATAAATACTCTAACTTTACACGCAAAGGAACTACACATAGAAGATTAAACAAAGCCCAAGTGAATAGAAAAAAGGAAATTATAAAGATCAAAGAGAAAAGAAATTAAGTAGAGACAAAAAATAGAAATCATCAATAAAGATAGAAGCTGGTTCTTTGAAAAGAAAAGCAGAACTGATAAACCTGTCGCCAGACTTGTCAAGAGAAAAATAGAAAAGGCCCAAATGAGTAAAATCAGAAACGAAACAGGAGAAGTTACAACTGATCCTGCAGAAACACAGAAGTCGTGAGAGAAATACTATGAACAATTATTCTCCAACAAATAGGACGATCTAACAGAAATGACTAAATTCCTAGAAACACACAATCTTCCAAGACCAACTCATGAAGAAATAGAAAATCTGAATAGATTGATTACTAGTAACAAAACTGAATCAGCAATAAAACATCTCCCAACAATCAAGAGGTCAAGTCCAGATGGCTTCACAGGTGAATTCTACCACATATTTAAAGAGGATTTTAGTGTCCTCCAAATTATTCTGAAGAATTAAAGACAAATGAACACTTCCAAACTCATTCTATTAGGCCAGCATCACCCAGACACCAAAACCAAATGCATGAAAATGCATCCATCCATCCACACACGCTCCAATCCTGGAAGAACACAGCTGCAAAAATCTTCAACAAAATATTAAATTCATCAAATTCAAAAATACATTTAAAAAATCATAACTATGACCAAGTGGGATTTATTCCAGGGCTGCAAGGATGTCCTTAATATCCACAAATCAATCAACTTGATATACCACATTAACAAAAGATAAAAATCATGTAATCATTGCAATATACAAAAAAAAAATCATTTGAAAAAACTTAATACCAATTTGTGGCAAAAACTCTCAAGTGGATATAAAAGAAAAACACCTCGACACAGCACAGACCATCATGTATCATCACAAAGCCACAGCTGATCCTGTAACAGGAAAGAGCTGCCCGCTTTTCCTCTAAGGTCAGAAACAAGAGTGCCCATGTTTGCCACTTTTATTCAGAGTATTAGAAGTCCTAGCCACAGCAATCAGGCAAGAAAAACAATATATAAAAGACATCCAAATTGGAAAGGAAGAAGTAAACCTGTCACTTATAGCGGACGACATAATATTGTATATAGAAAACCCCAATGATTCCACCAAAAAGTTACTGGAATTAATGCATGAATTCATTACATTTGCAGGATATAAAGTTATAAACAGAAATGTATTGTATTTGTACATACTGATAACTAAATATGACATTTAAATAAATGGATCAAAGACTTGAATGTAAGACCTCAAACCAAAAAACTCCTAGATAAAAACGCAGGCTATGAGCTTTTTGACATTGGTTTTGGCAATATTTTATGGACCTGCCTCCTCCAGCTAGGGAACAAAAGCAAAAATAGGCAAATGGTACTATGCCGAACAGAAAAGATTCTGCACAGGAAAGGAAACCATCAACAAAAAGAAAAGGTAATCTACTGAAAGGGAAAAGATATTTACAAATGATTTATCTGATCAGAGGTTATTATCCAAAATACAAAAAGAACTCATAAAACTAAATTTAAGAAAAACAATCCCATTTAAAAAAATGGGCAGAGGACCAGAATAGACATTTATCCAAAGAGGATACACAGATGCCAACAAGCCACAAAGAGATGCTCAGCATCACTAGTTCCCAGGGAGATGAAAACCAGGACCAGCCGAGACGCCCCCACACCAGCCAGAATGGCTGGGGCTGGGGGGCTCATCGACGGGTTGTACCTGTCCAAGTGGATTTTGCCCTTTCTTTCACATTGTCGGTCAACCTCGTAAATGTAACAGGTGCTGTGTGTGTGTCTCCACCTTTAAATTCTATGGCGAGGACACATCTGACTCTTGAATCAAGCTCCTTATCTAGGCCAGTGGCTCTCAGGTTCCTCGACAGCGACCCCCAGCAACACTGTGACCCCGTGGGAAGACTCGCTGCCACTGAACAAAGGTTGCAGGGAACCGCGTTTGCCGCCGCAGCTGTAGTGCCCTCTGGGAGTGTCTGCCCGTAATGTTTTATTTCACTGAAAACAACGCTAGCTGCAGGCTGCTAAATCGATTTCACAACCATTAATGGGCGATAACCTGCATGGAAGGTATCGCTCAGGATTCATAGGGCTTTCGTGCAGCTCCATTTACCAAAGGACAGAATCTTATAACCACAGGGCTGTTTCCCTGCCCCAGACATGAAGTAACTGTGGACTGAGAAGGAGGGACCAGGAAGCAGGGAGACTGTGATTCAGTGAATCCAGGGTGGGTGGGGGGATGGGGGGGGGGCCGGGGAACCCGTGAAGCCCTCTGAGTTTGGGTGTGTTGTTTTTTCAGTTTTGAGGAGTTGAACATGGTTTGAACACCCATCGACATAAGATTTAGTGTTTGTCTGTTTAACCCTACATTCAGAAATTATTCTGGTCTAGGGGGGAGACCGGGCGGGGGGGGGGGGTGGGATGGGAGAAATAGATAAAAAAAAATGTACTTGAAAAGTAACTAAATAAAATTTAATATTAAAAAAAAAGAAATTATTCTGGTCTATGTTGACACAGTTTTTGTTTAAAAACCTTCTTACCTAGAGAGTGCGCCGCGGTGGTCTTGGAGCTGAAGAAGCGGCCCAGGCCCAGGTCCCCGAGCTTGACCACGCCCGTGGCCGTGATGAACACGTTCGCTGGCTTGATGTCTGGGTGGGGAAGGCGTTGGGGAAAGAGGAGGTTAGTGTGGCTACTTTCAAGGGTTAAAAACCACTTTTTATGGCAGAACTTAAAGTGGATCCTGAAAATGAGTCTGAATCTTGAAGCAATTACTTCACTTTGAGTAATTTTTATGTATCTTAGTGTTTCTGTGCTCTCAGTCCTTTGAGAAACTAACAATCATTAATGCAGCACAATAAAGACCACGATTTGTTTTCTTTTACAACCCATTTTCGTTTCCCATTTTCGGGTAAATGCTTGGGAAACTCAAAGCACAAAATGTGTCTTTTCTACCTCGATTTCAAGTAAAATATCTTACTAAGTATTAACTTACAGATATATTTACAGGAAATAGAAAATCACAACTCTCTATATATAATTCATGTAGAAAGCCTTAGAAATCTTAATTGCTTAAATAAATGTTAAATAAGTTAAATAACATTTTTCATGCCCCCAAATCAGAGGTCAGTTCCTTAGTGATGTAACCTTCAGATTATACCCAATAATGTGACTAAGAACGATGAATATATTGAGAGCTAATGCTGAGAATTAAAGATCTAAGTAGCCGTAATATACACTGTTTATCTGGTTTTAAAAAGAAGGCAAAAACCAAACCTCTTCCTTATGTTTTCCTGCACCTGTTTTTTTTTCTTTACCTACCAAATCCATAAGACGCTCAGGAGAGTGAAGCCAAAAAATGACTAATTCTCACTGTGACTGGAAAGCGTGCAGGGCTTCACTCACAGGCTCGTCTTTCGAGTGAGGCTGGAGCCGGGAAGCGGCCCACACTCACCTCTGTGCATGACCCGGCGGGAGTGCATGTGCTCCAGCGCACTGCACAGCTGCACGAAGTACTTCCAGACGGTCCGCTCCGGGATCAGCCGCTTCTGCTTCTTGAAGTGCTTGTTAAAAGTGGGAAATAGAATTAGAAGCACTAGAACTCCTCAGGACTAGATTCTGACGTGCACTGAGGTGTGAGTCAGAAAAATACCTACTTTATCTCCCTAATAACCAACGAAAGACTCAATGGTCTTCCAGGGTAAAATGATCCCAAGACTTTACCAGACGCAACAGCTTCGATTCCTCCCACTTGCATGTAAAGTGAGCACAGGCCAAAGAACGCTCTCTTTGCAATGTGCGACTATTTCAGAACATCAATGTCTATCTGAAATTGTTTCTTATCCTAAAAGGGAGATGCCGAATTTCACGTGAGGAAAAGCCATGATAAAATGCTCCAGAAACCTGAAGGTATTTGTGTTCGTTAAAAGGCAATTATTCTGCTGATAGAGGTTTCACCACCGAATTCCTTTTAAATAAATATGGAGCCACCTTGGTGACTTGAAATATCGCTTAACTTACTAAGCATTTAAGGGATTTCGGTAAAAAGTTCTCATAAATATTTCCGTTGCACACCGCAAGTCAACCTTGCAGTGGACTCTGAATGAAGGAAAGGGACTTCACAGATGGAGGAGAAAGCCTCGGGGGCCGGGCAGAAGCGGAGCACGGGTCCGGCAGCCGGGGAGAGGGGCCGCCGCGCTCGGGATGAACTGCCAGCCAGCAGCGTGAGGAAATCCACCTTCTATGCGACATTTGGTGAAGTTGAGTAATGTACTCAACTCTGTTCTTGGTTGCATAAGACTCATAGAGATTTATTATATAAAAATTGCTTTTTTCAAAAACAAAACTGCAATTGGTTTGCTATTTAACAACATTTATAAATGACCGAGATGAAACATCGTATTTAGCCAAGTTTTCACAAAAGTTCCCAGTATCTTGTTAAAGTGCAGAACTGGTGATAGAAGCCGTTTTTGGAAGTTCGGCTGATGGGGTTTCTGAGTGTGGAGAAACTGTACTCCAGATGCTTCCAGAACAAGCACCTCTGCCGCCGTCTGCCCCGGTGCCCGGCCAGGGGCAGGCCGGTGGAAATCAGCTGGGGGAAGTCTGCCCAGGCCGCACCTCAGTCAGCAAGAGGGTCACACCTACTGTCACAGAGCACGGGGTTCACACAAACTGAGTCTTTGTTACAACACGTCCTATTGGAAAACGGACTTATTAGCAATTCCAGTGGCCATGACAGCAGCTGCCAAACAGGAGCAACAATCAGATGAGCAGGTGTCACGCAGCCAATCGGGGTGCTTGTCACTAGGATGATAGAAACCTTCCCCGTCCTGCTTCAACTTCAACACAAAGCGTTTTCAATCGCGTACAGAGTCTCCATCAGCTTTCACTCTAAGGGGCAAGGCTGCCCCCTCCCCGAGGCACAGAGAACTTCCCACGGACCTGAACCAGGTGCGAATGCGGGCCGTCGGGGTAGGGGGCCCTGTCCCCAACGCAGATGACTGCGTCGGAGGGCAGTCTGATGTCAGCAGGAGGGAGGCCGGGGTTCTTTTCACTCCGAAGTCAATATACCCTGTCGTGTTAATATCACGCCGTGAGAGAAAAACTTAATGCTTTCATGTAGACTCTAAAATCATCACCATTAGAACTAATTTGGCAGTGTACTCTGTTCAAGACCCGTTATTTAAAAAACATGGCGTAAACCCAGGAAAAGGCAGAAGGAAAAAGTTGCCCTCGAAATGCAGGGCCTCTTCCTGAGCCCTGCTCCCACGCACACGTGTCTGCTGCAAGTTTCTCCTCTGGGCCAGAGGGGCTGGAGACCCCGCCTCCAGACCCCGCCTCCTCTGACAAAGGAGAGCCGGCAACGAAAACCGAGCTCTGACTGGAATAGGCCCTAATGCCAACGGGGAGAGATAAAAAGTGTGCACGTCTGTGTCACGTGGAAAGCATTTAGGCGAATGCTAATGCAACCTGGATATTTCAAGGTTAGTATTGATAAAGACTTACAATATGCGATATGGTATCTTTACGGTATTTATGTTATGAACCAGAATTGTGACTTTTGTTCCAATGAAATATCTAAAAACTAGTGAAGAAGTAGAAATTAGCACTCGGTGTACCTCGTCACATGGGCATAATTTTTATTTAGGTTTTTTTTAAATTTTTTTTATTGATTATGCTGTTACAGTTGTTCTATTCCCCCCTTCATACCCCCCTCCCCTTTATTTAGTTTTTTTCTCAGCAGGCTACTCTCTTCTCTATGCAAAGCTTCAAATACTGTTTATTTTAAAGCATATTTTCTCTATCTTCCATCAACATTATTTAAATGAGATTTTGGCAAAACAGCTACATCTCTTTTCAATCATCAAACATCCTCCCTGCACATTAAATGCCCAAGACAAGCCCAGCTCTCTGGGGGACGTTCGTCCCTAAGCACCGTCTCCGAGACTCGACCGGGCCCCTGGCTCCTGCATCCTGGACCCTACACCTGCCGCCGCAGAACACACCTGGCTGGCCACGGCGCATCCTTTGGAAACGCGCTGCTGGAGTTCAAACAGAAACAAGAAAGCAGCAAGTGTAAGTGTGTTCCCGGTGGGCCAGGCATGTTCAAGAGGATGAGAGACATGACAACGAGACAGTGAGACCAGGGACATTGCAAGAACTGGGACCAGGCAGCCGCTGGTGTCCGCCCCTTCCCCATGTCGAACCTGAGGACGGATGTGACAATGTGACTTTCATTCAGTGCAGGGGAAGATTCGCTGCTTGGGAGTGTTGTCACAGGTTAAACATGCCACGACCACAAGCCACGGCCACCTGGTACATCAGACCTGACTGTGAGGCTGGGCCGGAACTGGCTGCGGGACCTTGGACCAGCCTGTGCCCTGGCCGGGCCTCTGCCTCCTCACTGCCTGGGGCAGAGAGTCTGGGGATGGCCAAGGCGGCGGCGCCTCCGAGCTTGGCGTACTAAGGTTCCACAGCCCCGGCTGCAACTAAATCCCATTTTCTCACTGAAAACTTGTGATATTTTATAGGAATACCCCATCCTTCAACTCTCCGGTTAATAAGGACAGAGGAAACAACAACGATGATAATGATAATGGTTTGGCCTCAGAGATCCCCACAGGCCCAGTGAATACGACACGTGACCTCCACATGAGAAGACAGGTAGCTCAAGGTCTTGTCCTTTGTCATAAATCTGTACGTAGGTCAGACATCTACTGTCAGAAGGGATGTTACTTCCCCAGACAAACACACCTCTGTAATTATGATGCATTTTTAAGACGACATTTTGCAGTGGTTACTTCAAAGAATTAGGCGCACAGAGGCTGGACGATGGAGTAGAACTGACAGCTCCCAGGGTGATACTGACTAAACAGTCCTTCTGCGGAAACACTTTTTCTTCTACGGAAACACTTTTTCTTCTACAGAAACCCTTTTCTTCGGAGCTGTGTGTTCTCACCCCACTAAGCGCCATGAATATTTGCTCTACACAATGTTGGGGATTACACAAACATGGAAAACATTTATGTCTCAGTTAGAATTTTGGTCAGTGGTCCTCATTCACAGCATGTGAGAATTTTGCCTGTTGGGACTCTCAGTAAAAGTCACGAATCTTAACTCGCCCCAGCAGGTACAGAGCAGACTGGGGCTGGCAGCTGAGAGATCGCAAAACGCACTCATCGAAAGCATCTGGTTTTATCAGAGGCTTTGATAAAATGTTTCCACCCCAGCTTTGTAAGTTTGGAAAACCCACTGAGCACTCAGCTGCTTCTGCATTATAATTCATAATAGATTTATCAATGGAATCTCTCCGGTCCCTGGTCGTATAGATTATTAACAGAAGCTGAAAATATATTTCGTCTTACAATAGAAAATGTGAAACAGGTAAAGATTTTTCTGGGTGATGAAGCCTTGGAAAAACAGAACCTGTGATTATTTAGCAAACAAAGAAAATAAGTTCCTATAATGTCACAAGGTTCTCCCCCCCCCCAAAAGCTATCTTTTGAACATTGGGACGTAACTACCAAGGAAATGAAGTTAAAGTGTTTTTTAAAGTCGATAGAGAATGCATGAGCCCATCAGTTACTGTGAGGCCGGGCGCCGCCTTGCTGCCACGCGGATGATGCTGAGCAGCTTCCGGGCCCCTAAAACCGAGAGCGCTGGCCCATGGACACGCTGAAGACCTTCCTCTCCCGAGTCCGAGACCACGCGTCCTCTGGGTCCCCTTACACCCGACAGTGGGGGGCCGCCCCTAGCAAGGACAACGCTGGGGGGCAGCACTGCAAAGAGGAGCAAGCCGGTCAGCAGAGACCCAAGTGCGACGGAAGTCCAGGGCGCGCCCGCTCTGTCCGGGGCGCGCGGCGGGCTAGCACCGACCTCAAACGCACGGGGCGTGTGTTTGAGAAAGCTCCTGGAGAACAGTCTCCCAGCCTCTCCTGGTGAGCCCGGCCCAAATGTGTGCACTGCCCTTCCCTGAGGCTCACAGAGCGACGTTAAGGTCACCAGGGTGCATCAGCCGCAGGTCACTGAAACCCTCACTCCGCACCACGCTCCTCCGCCCAACTGCTCTGGGAGCAGAGAAGGCCCGCACTGCATCTATCAGCGACAATGCGTGTGCCCCTATGCGACACACCCGCACACGTGTGCCTGCACAGACTTGGGCCCTCACGGGGGCGCGGGGTTTCCGAGGAGCACCGCTGGTTGGCCACCTTTGGCTTCTGGGCGGCGCTGGCAGACGAGGAACAGACTGCTTTCGGAATCCATGGCCTTCTCAAGCTCCGCGCCAGGGACTGGGAGGGGAGGCAGGTGTCGAGCTGCAGTGAGAGTCAGAACCGAGAGGTGGCGCTCTGCGGGGAAGGGCTCGAGGCTCCACGGAGCCCAAAGGTCGAGGGGCCAAGAGACGTTTGACTCCCAGCGCAGCCGCTAAGGCTGGAGAAGCACAAATGCAAAAGTGTCTGCAAAGGTAAGAAACCACCCCACCAAGAAGGTGAGCGAGATTCGTAAGTTCCAACAGGTTGAGATTTTAGCTAACCTATCAAAGCTTATGGTAAGCAGAATTCTCACACCTCCCCCTGAAATTCCCCAGTCTGGGTGTGAAATCCCCTCCCGCTGAGCGTGAGCTGGTAGTGAGTGTGAAAAACGAGCATCCTCGCACGCACTGCGTCACCGTGCGTGGCAGAAAGGATGCTGCGGATGGAGTGAGGGCTCCAGATCAGGCGCTTCTCCATTTTTCAAAGGGAGGCTGGCCCGGGCAGGCGGAAGTCAACGCTGGTTTGCGTGTTTCTGCAGCTGATCTCTCTTCTCCTCCGCACCAGGTCGCTGTCACCAAATACGCTTCTCCACGCGGCAGGGCGAAACGCAGGGCGCTGACGAGGAACGCTACAAAACGGGGCAGGCGTCGGTCCGGCTGCAGGCGGGGGCGGAGGCCCGAGAGCGTGCACAACACAACCCAACACGACCCGACACACCGACACCCGCCCGGTGCGCGCCCATTCACTTCCCCTGTAGAGTCCGCACTGCTGGTGATGAAGAAATATCCGATGACAAATCCCGGGTTCCTTTCATGTCAAAACCCATCTGGGAACCATTTCCTCTGACCACAGCCTCAGGTACTCCTTTGTCACTAATTAGAGAAATACTGAGTGTTCCAACTATAAATCGCTTAATTATATTTGTCAGCCTGCTCCAAACCAATTAATTATTTACTGGAGAAATCTTTGATGCCGTGCTGTCCAGAGGTTTGCTCCTGGAATGCCGACTAGGAGCCGCATCCGCGCTTCTCCCTTCTACCCCAATTAAGCTGGAGACTCAAGACAGTGAGCTGTTTGGTTGTGATGATTTGCAACACTCCTCACTATAAAGAAATGAACCACAGCCTTACGACTCAAGTATCTGCCACTGTCCTGCCTCCAGCCTTAAGTCACGGCACGTTCCTTCAGGGGAGACGTCCCTGTGAGTTTCTCCTAATGGAGTTTTTCCACTTTATGAAGGTTAGCTTACAGCAGGAATATTAGAAAACAGCAGAAGTTCTTAGGGCCGCCAGGAAAGGGCCCTCCTCTCAGATGGCTGGCTGTGTTCTCTCGGCATCTCGGCAGCTCCCGTGAGATTGGAGTGGGAACGGCAGTGGGCCCCTGGACCGAGAAGTGCGCCAGGCGTAAAACCATCCACTCTCACGCACACATCAGCACACGTGCCTCGGTGCGAGGCACGGCCATCAGCCAGGTCCCACCCTGGAAACGGACCAGATGAGCAGAGCAGACAAGGTCCCTGTACTCGGAAACAGAGACTCCAGACACAATCCGAAACGTGAGCACAGCAGGTCCACCGCCTGGCTCAGCCTGAGAAAGTGACGCCCCTGTGGTAACACAAACCAGATTGTGTCACCCACAGACAGCCCGAGGGTGGGGAGGGGCCTCGGGGCAGAAGCCCCCACGCAGGAGGCAGCAGCCACCCGAGGGCCTGGGAGGTCAGGGGAGGGGGACTGGTGCCCAGGAGGAGGCGGGGCCGAGGCCACGGCTCTCACGAGGATGATCTCACGAGGATCCGCGACACCTGCCCCGAGGCCTTGCCTGTTGCCTAGGCAAACGGGCGGTACTCATCATAAAACGTAGGCTCTTCACAGGCTCAGACCGCAGTCAGTGCCCACTGGGGAGGCAGGAGAACGGCATTACTGATCCTCTGTGGAAAATCACTTCGGAATTCTACCAAAGCACATCAGGTTGCTCCAGAAGCTTAAGAAGCAGTTGCTATCTTTTATTTCAGAAGTTTCCCGATTAGTCTTTTCCAGGGTAGATCCCTCTGAAGTGTGGTCAGAGGCCCCCAGGGTCGTTTAGGTGCAGTTATCAATTCCACATCGGCCGGGCCCTACCGGTTACCGCACCCAGAATCCTGCAGTTCTGAACCTCTCACGACCTCCCCTGGGTCGGCTGATGGGAACTTTCCCTTGATGGTGTCCACGGATGGCGAGACCCACTCACAGGAGGGAGCCCGGCTTGTCACCACAGCAGACACGCGACCAGGGGGGACAGCCCTCTCCTTCCCCACTGGCCTGAGCGGTGCCTCTGCTGAAGGCGGAGGCGAGGTACCTGCGAGGTACTGGGCCCTGTGCTTGTTTGCTTGGGCGGCGAAGGGACAGGCGCGTCCCCCATGGTTCTGCGGAGGAAGGGTCTCACCTGTACGTGTGGAGCAGGGGCAGCAAAGGAAGAAAACTGGTTTGGACAAGAGCAGGACCTCGAGACAGCCTAAGCCCCCAGTTACCTGTCAGTGGGGGGTCAAGACGCATAACCAAAACCGCCTGCTGCCTTTCCGAGCCTTCAGCAGGGGTTCGCCTCCTTCCTTCCCACTAGAGTTAGCTCTTGTTTCTAAAGGGCTCAGCGCAGAATTTTGTTTTAGTCATCTCTTTATGTGTCTCCTAGCTGCTTGGTAAAACTTCACATTGGTATATTTGCATTTCTTTTTAAAATTAGGCCTATAGTTGTATTTTTTTTTTAATTGGCCATTAATCCGCAAAGACGTTTTGTTGGTGGTTGGCTTTGCCCGTGGTGGGAAGTCCCTAGAACCGAAAATCAGATAACGGATCAGAAGTGAGTCAGACTCCCCACGGGACTTCACACTCAGCCTGATGGCATTCGTGATAATGAGAATATTAGCTTCCTTTTCTGCCCCGTGTTACTATTTGGAAAGCAGCCGGAGGCCGTCTCCGCCCTGCGGGGGAGGACGCTGCACCTGGCGGAAGGGATGCACGGGGTGCTGGGCGGCCGTCCGCGCTCTCCCCGAGAGCAGGGTCCCACTGCTGCAGGGAGTCGGCAGGCGCCGGCTCAGCAACCCCGGGAGGCTGTGGAACATCTGACTTTCAGGGGGCACCCTGTGATACAAGTCTTTCAGGGCCACGAAAGGAAAACAGGCGAGTTTGGCACGAGCCAGACCCAGCTTCCAACGCCAGCTCTTCTGCTGACCGGCGACGGCGCGGGTGTTCTCAGAGCGCCAGGCCTACCCCTCAGAACCCCGTGCGTGCTAACCAGGCTGGTGCCCAGGCAGCGCCCAGCACTGTTTTTAAACGCCCACATGGTGACTCCACAAGGCAGAGACTGTCCCTCGTGCCCAGGGACCTGCCAAGAAACCGAATGTGCCAGCAGACAATGCCTAGACCTCGCACAAATGCCCAGACAGCCTGAGCCACTGCCTGCAGCAACCTGACCAGAGCGCCGGCCTGCTGCGCCCGGCTGGTGGGAAGTCAGACTGCCACCCCCAGGGACGGCCCGGGAAGCGAGCCAGGACCTTCGCCAACCATCAGCCCTGCATGGCCAGGACTTCTTCAACAACTGACAGTTCTTCTCGTTTTCGCCTCTGCTTCCCACTCAGGACCGACCGGATAATCCCAGGAGAAGCCTAGCTTCCGCCCCAAGTAACAGTGATGACCAGGGTGCACCCGCAGCCTCCTCTGTCCCACTGCAAAGGTGACTCTGCCCAGACGCTAGTGACAGCGGCTGACTTCCTTGCTACGGGAAGCTCAGAACAAATGCTTTCGTTGAGTCGTTTGGCTGGTTTTCTATGACTTCCACACTGTTCGGCTCATCTTCCAGCCAAACGCAGGCGGGGCGTCCCAGCCTCCCGGGCAGCTAGATGTCGGGGACAGTGTTCTGGCCCGTGGGGTAAAGCTAACAGCGCTGAGTGGCAGCCCCCAGCGAGGGTCCTGAAGACACAGCCAGCAAGGCCCTTTGTCCCTTCATGCTGGGACGGTGACTTGGTCACCTGAGACAGGTTCGGTGTCTAAGAATCTGACAGATCAGAGTGGCCGTGTCAGCCCCGGAATTTGAGGTCACAAAGAAATCACCAGGTACAGCAGCACCACTGCCTGCCACTGAGCACCCGGCTGCCCGCCGGGGCCTGGAAACGCACCGAGGTCTTTATTCCGAGAGTCCGACAGACCCAGGGGTCTAGTTGACGACCCCACTAGAAACAGAGCGTCTGTCGTTTGTTTTCTCATTTTATTTTACACCTTACCTTTATCATTCGGGATAGATCGCCAGCATCTGCTAATTCCAAAACTATGTTTAATTCATTATCTTCAATGAACGATGCATAATATTTAATTACGTTTGGATGGTTGAGTTGCTGAGGAGACAAAAAAAAAGGTATCAAAAAGTTTTCTCATTGTAAATTCTCCATAGTTTCATAACTTAAGAATAAATTTAGCCCTGGCTGGTGTGGCTCAGTGGATTGAGTGCCAGCTTGCAAACCAAAGGGTCACTGGTTCGAGTCCCAGTCAGGGCACTTGCCTGGATTACGGGCCAGGTCCCCCCGTGGGGGCCCACAAAAGGCAACCACACATTGATGCTTCTTTCCCTCTCCCCTCTCTTTAAAATAAAGAAATAAAATTAAAGAAAAAGAAGAAGAAGAAATTTAGTTACTGGTTTCACTTTTCAGTTATAGAAATAAATCAACATGACTGTGCGTTTTTCTTTCATTTTGTGAGTTTTAAAACAACTATTCTAAGTTATGAAAGTAAAACTAGGTATCAATCTTATTTTCATATCCTTTATTAAAAGTACTACAGTAACTCATGCACTTAAAATCTTTTAAAGTATTGCTATGTCCAATAAACATATGTATCTATGCCTATAAATGAATGACATAATTAAATCAATTGCTAAAAATTACAACGCATCCTTCAAAAGGAGACCTGTCCTTTCAGGGCACTAAACGGCAGATACAGTTTTCCTTTTCACGTCCAGTTTGACATCAGAGCCCATCCTAGTACAACCGTATCCAGGGGTGAAAGTGAGAGCCAACAAAGTGGCAACCGTAACAAGCAGCCTCTGGGACACTGCACCTCTGTGCTGTTTCTATGCCCGGTAACGTGAATGAATATGCCAGACTTATCCATGGGGCCGAGTCACAAAATCGCCCCAAGGAAAATTTTACCACATAGAAAAATATAGGAATCACTTCATATGCATGTATGATCTTTTTTATGATCCTTTTTCAATCTTTAAACAAGTTAACATGACAAATAGTTTCTCAAAGAAAGGTATTCAAAAATTATTCTAAAAGAGTGTATACATGAGTTTCTTCTCCTCTTTCCACTTAGAGGCTTCCCCCCACGAGGTTTATATGTAATTTTAAGTAGTTACTCATTTCCTAGGGAGTGACTCCAACCAATAGAACAGTCTAAAGCAAGGTCGTTTCCATCCTACTTGTACCGTTCCGAACCAGTTTGATTCATTGTAGACACCAACAAAACCAGGTGGCCCAAAGAACACCCAGGTCTTGTCCAGAAGTTACAAAGGCGAGTCACAGCCCCCTCAACAGACATGCGCCCAGAACACAGGCAGGATGGAGCTGCCGCTTGGGTCATGTTCTGTGAGTGGGCAACACACCGGGAAGGTCGTTCCGACACACTCCCACCTCAGCCTTCCTAAACCTGGGAACAGACACAGGAACAGCGTTAGAGACACGGGGGCCGCTGGGACCGGTCCGCGTGCTCAATGCATCCAGTCTTACGACAGAACCGATGTGCGTGTGTGTTACTGCTTGGCCTTGGGCATCTGCCTGGGATGGTCAAGACAACAGTCTCTGCAATGTTTTACGCCCATTTTTATCTATTAAATAGATAGTTTGAAATGGGGGGGAGCAATCCTACCAAATGTTCCAATTAAATTATTTTATAGTGATTCCAACAGACTGAGACCAAACTTGTACAGTTCCTCAGAATCAGAGTGGCACGATTGTGTGAAAAGGTGCACTGCTCCTAAGTGCACCATTTTTTAAAAGATTTTATTTATTTATCTTTAGAGGGGAAGGGAAGGAGAGAGGGAGAGAATATCAATGTGTGGTTGCCTCTCATGCGTCCCCGGCTGGGAACTGGCCTGCAACCCAGGCAGGTGCCCTGACTGGGAATTGACTAAGTGCACCATTTTAATACAGGACCTTTATCAGCACATCCAGCTGCGTTTGAAAGAGCCAACGGCCGGCGGGCGGTTTACCTTCAGGAGGTCGATCTCCTTGATGCAGTCGGCACGGGCTTTGGCGTCCATCAGATCAAATATCTAAAAACAGAGTGCAGAGTCACCCGGTGGAACGATGCTCTGTGGCTCAAGCTACCGTGCGCGTTCGTCATGATATTTTACACATAACTAAATACACACTAAAAACTTCCTCTCCGATTAGCTGTGGGGACCACGGAGGTCTGTGGGCATTTGCTCTGATGTCACCCCCAGAGCGCCCAGTCTGCCCCCCGCAGGCAGGCGGTACTAAAGGCGGGAAAAGAGAACAGCTAGATACTTCAAGTCTCAAGTTCAATGGGAAGAACAATAATTAATATGCATTCGAACAATTATTACATGCTAAATGAACTACCCCAACTACTTCTCATCTAATCCTTGAGGGGATATTAGCATTCCCATTTTACAGATGAAGAAAGTTTAGAAAGCTTAAGAAACAGAAAAGGTCACCCAGCGGTGTAACGGAGCCGCCACAGTCCATTCTCGAAGTTACCCACCCACAGCCGAGGATCCGAACCGCCGAGCCGCCCCATCGGAGTGCGCCTGCCAGGCCTCACGCCGGCCCGCATTCCTGCCGGGCACCACCTTTCCGCGGGGGCAGGAGCGGGCCCTTCGGAGACGGCAGTGACAGCGACACAGCCTTCCTCTTTCTGAAGATGAGGCACAGACAGACACACGACGACACACAAGCAGACATGTCTGTGGGGGTGACAGACATTTCATGGGGAGGGACAAGCAGGAAAAAGTGCCTGGAAAGACCCTTTGGGGGAATAACAATGAGGAAAAACGTTGAGAAACACTGGTCTGATGTGAAAGACATAATACCATCAAAGCAGATTTAATGCCTCCAAACACAACAGAAATCTCTCAATGTTCTAAGAGTAGAAAATCACAATAAATACAAAGCAACATCCTAAACATTAAAGTCTGAATAAGTCAATACTACAAGCTGATTAAAACCCTAGTTCCCTAATAAAACAACTTTAATAACATTTATAATCATCAACTCGAGGACACTTCCTCTGGCGACAGCTGGGTGGCCCCAGAAAGGCCGGGGTGCGCCCCTGGGAGGAGCTGAGCGAGGCCCAGCAGCCAGGGAAGGCATCGCTGAGAGCCAGCGGGGGAGCCCGGGCCACAGAACCAGGACCGAACGGTGGTCGGTCCAGCCCAGGGTCCCTGCTGTCTCCGCCGGCTGGGGTGAAGTCTCATGCACACAGGTAGCCAGGGAGCTCCACAATGCATGTGTGTGCCCAGGGCAGGTTCAGAAACCCAGGGAAGGGGTCCCCATGGAGGGTGGGGTGGCCCCGAAGCTCAGAGCCGGCAGAATCTCAGGCTCCACCGCCAGCAGCACCGTGAACGCCACGCAGACAGTGCGGCACGGGCAGGGCCGTGAGCGGTGCATCGGCACGCTCTCCCTCCTCAGGTCCGAACGCACCCAGTTGCACTGTTCCCTTACTTCCAAAAGAATCAACGAACAAACACACAACGTTAGAGCCAGAGGGAACCCACATACCCCTTCCCTAAACAATTCCGGCTTCCGCTCACTCCCATTGCTTGCACAAACCCACGTCTTTCTCGCGGTGAGAACAACGGGGTCCGTGAAACAGCGTGTGCCTTCTCACCTAACGTGGCACAGCCAACACTCTTCCCGCATCTGCAGCCTTCCCCGCTCCTTTCACGGCACGGTTTCCAGTGAAAATCGCAAATATCGAGCTTGGTTTTCTAGCCTGATGGGAAGCAGCTGAGCGCTGCGGTGTGTTGAGATTTGGGGAGAACAGAGGTTCTAGTTAATGGTTCGCACAGACACGGAACACGGACGGCCTGGCGGTCTCTCCCGCTCACGTCCACAGACCAGAAATAGGCTTCCCCTCCCTCCACCTGTGCCGACGCTCACCCCCGCCACCGAGAACCGGCGACTGCTATGACTGCAGATCGGAACGAGAAGGAGAGGAGAAGAGGAAAGAGAGGATGGTGAGTGGCCAGCCACCGTCAGGAAGGTCACACAAAATGCGGGAAAGAAACTGCTCTGCAGCCACCGAGCCCTCGTACAGGGACCAGTCGGGTGGACGAGGCCCTGTCTGAGGGGTGGTGCACGTGAAAGGCAGGGCGAAGCCCCACAGCCGCCCGCAGCGAAGTGGGGACAGCGAGGAAGACTCGGGAGGAAGTGCCTCCACGCCCAGCCCTCTTGGGCCAGCTCGGCTGCACTCTGCCCGCCAGTGATTAACACAACAGGGGGGCCTGCTGTGCCCGTGCCCGTGCCCTTACCCTTCCCAAAACTGCGCTGACCCCCAGCTCGCACCGAGATGCCCCAGAGAAACAGGTGAGGAAGCGAGCGGGCCGCCCCGCCGGAGGCAGGTGCAGACAGGTGCGCGGAGAACGCACACGCATTGGCGCGGCCTGAGCCAGGTGGGGGGGGCCTCCTCCGGGAGCTGGCCGGCGCCTTCCCCACGAGGCTGGCAGAGGCAGCGGCGTGGGAGACACTTCCCAAGGCGTCCTCACAGAGCGAGTCAAGTCAGGAGCTCACTACTGCAGGGAGGGAGCCTGCCATGCGGCCGTTTCACAGAGACAAGCCACTCACCTCCCCGAATTCTCCCCACGGTGCCAGGACACGGTGTCACTGCAGCACATGTTAACAACACTAACAAGTGTTCATGCAAACACAGAACTGTGGGCTTGGTGTTGGCTGCAGGGAAAACACACACACGCCCAGACTGCCTGCGCTTTAAAAAAATCCAAGTGGCAAGAGAAATCACTGATCCTGCCAAACCAGGGCCGGCTACGCTGTTCCCGGGAACGAGGCCTCTCCCAGGGCTGGAGGCGGCTCGGAACACCGTGGGGAAGTACAGAACTCTAAATGTCGCAGGCCTTAAAGGGATTCCTGGAAACCGCCTTTTTCCAGCACATAGGGAAGGGGTCATTCTGGTCCCAGTGAGTAAACTAAAAGCCTGGAGATGTGTAGAGACCTAATCTCCCAGGAATCCAGTCTTCACGCTGGAAAAGATACTCTGAAACGGAAGCCTGCGGACGTGCAGGAGACGTGTGAGTTCTCGGAAGCCCCAAGGAAACAGGAACCGCTCGGGCAGACCGTGCCGCGTGTCTCCGCCCCAACTTAAACTGCTTTGGAATCGCGAGTTAGCGTTTCATCGGAAGTCAGTCCCCAGACATGGAGAGAAAGAAGCACTCTCAAGGCACCACTAAGTTCTGAACCAAACACACGTGCACAAATCCATTGAACGGGAACTTCGGAAGTGTCTTATCTTTCTTTTTTCTTAGCCAGCAAGTCAAGACAAAATGAAAACTGAACCTTTAGATTAAATAATCCCTAGATAGAAATTCAAAGCTGTCTTATTGCATAAGCAAGAAAAGGCAACACGTACGGGGAAAAAAGAATCTGGATTTTGTAAAAACACTTCCCATAAAATATTTACAGGCTTGTCTTCACAAGCCATCTTTCTCAGCTCCACCGGTTTCTCTGAGTTTTGGAATCTGTTTTCTACTTAGGAAGAGCAAAGTTACTAGCGGTATTTACACAGGTACTGGCTGATGAGCATTCTCTGAACCCCTTAAAAAGTCTTCTTTTGTCGCCTTCAAATTCTGCCAAAATGACCAGATTCGGCACCAGTGACCGAAGCTGAAAAGGTAAACTCCAGGTACCTTTCGGAGGCACGGGAGACCTTCCGGTGACTTGGCAGGAACGTCCTTGAAAGGCAGGTGTCAATTTGTTACAAGAAAAACACCGAAAACGAAGTGCAGAAAGCACTTCAAAACACACAGCAAGAGAGTCCAGCTAAGCTGGTGCCTCTTGCTTTAAGTAAACCTCGCTTAAAGGGAAATTGTAGCCAAATGCCTCCCGGACCACTGGGCTTTCCCGAGCCTGAGGAACCAGTCGTGCAGCCGGTCCCCAGAGGAGTCCTGTGATGGTCCTCAGCCCGCCCCTTCTGACCTCAGCCCCGGGTCACACCTCTTCCACCCCCACGTGCCTGCCCCTGGCGCCCGCCCGCTCTCCCCACGGCCTGGCCCCCGTGGTGCGCCCACACGTCTGAGCCACGCACTAGCTGCCAGGCCCTTTCCCGCGGAGGCCGAAGGTCCCGCAGTGGCGGTCTGGAACGAGGCCCCACCCGCCTCCCTCAGGACTCCACACTCAGAAAACCCTCGTGCACACCGGTGCCCTCTGACGCCACAGGCTGGTGCAGGGGCTCCAACTGCCACCCGGCAGGGAGCCCTGCACCACGGGTTCCTCCACGCCACAAAGCCTCTCAGGAGGACCACGGGACATCCCTCCGTGGTCCGGGTTTGCGAGAGCTGGAAGCCCCGAGAAGCCCAGGCAGGCCTTGCGAGAGTCAGGGACTCCTTGCCCGGGGACAGCAGAGCTGGGAGTGCGCACATGGGCGTAGGAGATGCAAACGATCTGAAATTACCACCGTGAGGAATGAACGCCCCCACAGCAGTGGGACGGCAAGGAGCCACCGGAGGGAACAGAAAGGGGAGACCATAGCAGTGGGGGGAGCAACAAGCGTCGTCACCAGGCACGGGGGCGGCCACAGCTGTGGGCGTAAAGGCGGCTGAGACATGACAGGGCAGGGCAGGTGCACGGACGTGGGAGGAACCGGCTGCCAGCAGGAAAGTCTCCCAGGAGGCACAAGAGAAGGGCGTCACCCGGGGCGTGGGCAGGTGAGGACAGTGAGCTAGGGCTGCTGTGCCATCGAGAAATTGCATTGAGAAGAGGAAGGGACACTGTCCGACAGGAGGGGCCATTTCTGCCGGGCATGGGCGCATGCGGGCTGTGGCCGAGGCCTGGTAATTTTCGGCTCCCACCGGGGACATCGTAATCAGCTTTGAAAAAGGAAACAGCCTCCGCAGGTGCTGCCGAGCCGAGAGCAGGCCGCCAAGGGCACCCGGGTGTCCACGGGGACGTGTGAACCGCGGCCCCTCATCTGGGGAAGGCGGGACTGGGGGAGGCCAGCGGCCCTCGGAGGCAGGGAGACAAGTGCTCCAGATGAGAGGGCGAGAGAAATAGGACTTTCCAGACTCGTGAGGGCGAGTGAGCCCTGGGGGGGTGGGGGCGGGCCCCCGCGGTAAGAGGAGCCGGGAAAAGCAGCACCAGGCCTGGAGCACGGCTGATTCTAGAGTGACGCTGAGGCAGCATGGAGATTTCGGGTGGGACCGCAGGCTTCTCCTCACATCCACTTCGGCTGCTTTGGTTCATGGCCAGCATGCCCTCCACGTTCATCTCCTGCCTCACCCTGACCTCGACGGCCCTCCATTAACCCAGGAATCCCTTCCGGGGGTCTCCTCGCCCATCGAGACGCCCAGAGCCAGCAGGTGGCATCCAGCTGCACGTCCCACGAGGGGCGAGCTGGCACCCCGAGTCGGCCTCAGAAAACCCAGCGCTACGGATGCTCTTCGGGGGGGTCACTGTGGTCTCCACCGAGTCAGGGTGACAAAACCCCCACGTCTGAGAGCCTAGAGGCAGCAGCGCAACTGCCCCCCAAGCCAGCCTGCAAGTACAAAGGACACTTGTTACACTTCCCCAGAATTCCCAGTGTGAGACAGTCGGAGCCCAATCAGTGAGGTCAGACTCCTCTGCTGATTACGGATCATGCACGCAGTAGGAGGTTACAGTGATTTATAAAATTGAAATCGTCTTACCTGCACTTTTTTTAAAGCTACTGGTACTCCATCCAAGAGACAGGATGCTCTATAAACTTCACTAAATTGCCCGCGACCAATTTTCTTTTCTATTCGAAAGTTGGCTAAGGTATTATAGCCCATGTCCGGTCGTAAGGCCTTCTGCAATTAAAAAAGTCAGAAAAGTTTTCAATCACACGGTGTACACAATCAATGATGCTTTTCACATACGCGGGCAAGCCCTGGGGTGGCGTGACTCGGTGGTTCCGGGCTCCCGTGCCAAGCAGGCTCTGTCTCAACCCAGCAGGCACAGCGGCGGCCACACCAGTGGTCCTGATGGGGAGGAAAAGTAACCGACAAGCCACGTGTAAAAACGTGTATCGTGTTGTATAGAAAGGGCTGGAAAGAAAAGCCTCTGAAGGAAGGAGGACAGGAGGAGGCGGGGGAAGGGGAAGACAGGAAGTCCCAAAGCCGTCTTTCATTCAGAGAACATAAACACGCCCTCTGCGATCTAGTACTTCTTTGATAATCCTCCTCCTTTTCAAAGAATCTCTGAGTTGAAACAGAATCAGTTAACACATATACTCACTCAGCCTGACCTGCCTGGTAACACACGAAAGCCCAGAGCTTCCTGGCCGTGTGACTCGCACAGAGGGCCCTTCTGGAGGCAGGGCGGGGGGCTCACTGCCACAGCGGCACCTTTTGTGAAAACACCGTATGTTTTCAAAGCAGTTGTCGGCTCACAGCCAAACTGAGAGGCAGGTACAGAGATGTCCCAGGTACCCCTGGGCTCTGCCCACACGCACGGGCCCCCCTTACCAGCACCCCCACCAGATGGTATGTTTGCTATGGCTCAGAACTGGCACTGACATGTCACCGTCACCTAGAGTCCGCGGCTGACGCCATGGTTTGCTCCGGGTGCTGCGCGTTTCTGGCTTTGGACAAAGGCGGAGTGCCGTGTGCGCAGGGTAGCAGCCCAGCGTATCCTCACTGCCTCCAAACCCTCCGCGCCCACCGAGGCGGCCCTCCCCCTGGCAGCCCCAGCAGCCGCTGATCTGCTCACTGTTGCTCCTCGGTTCTCTGAGAACAATTTGTATTTTTAAAGAGTCTCCCGCATCTAAGAAATGGACCCCCTTCCTCTTCCGCATCGACACAGACCACGGAGTCTCCAGGTGATGACAGTGTGTCCCCAGTCTCAGCACTAAGACACGGCTTCGCCATCGGGAGGGCCATCCCAGGGTCCCTGCACTTTACATGGGATGGGAATCCCATCTTCTGTCCGCACAGTCACTGACAAATATTAGCTCGAGCCGCCGAGGCAGTGTGACAGCCACATGCTGAGAGCAGGGGCTCGCTAATGTGTTTTGGCATGCGGGTTTGTAATCGCACATTTACATATGCAATGACCTACATTTGCATGTCAGATCACACACTGTCTGGGTTTATTAAGCCTGGGCCCCTCCCTGTGCTTGGCGGCCGGCGTGGCGAGCGAGGGCCAGAGGGCGGTGTTTTTGGCAATCGGGGGACGAACTGCCACTGAGGATTAGGCTGATGCGGCCTGAGCATTAGACACTTCATTAGCCGTGATCTGTTTAACAGTGGGCAGCGAGTGTAAGCTTCACAGCCCATTTGCGGCACCTTCCCCCCATGGCCTCTCTTCAGAGGGCGGCGTGGCTGAGTGACGGCCCGTGTCATCTGCTCCCATGTCCTGTCACCCAGGGTGGACGTGCAGCGCTGACATGAGAAGGATCCTCGCTGCACGTCCCCAACTGCCCCTGGTCTCCCTGCCGCACGGCAGTTTCTAGAAGAGCCGGCGTGTACAGGACGGGCTCCTCGGGGACTCCGGCGGACAGGCAGGCAAAGCGCTCACCTCGGTAATGACCCTGCTAGGCCGCACTCGGAGCCTCCCCACCCTGACGGGCTCTGTCCCGTGGCGGGGAGCACTGTGTTGGGGGCTTCAGACAAACGCACGGTGCCATCTGTGAACGCCCACGCAAGTGGAGAACAGTTTCTAGGAAGAGTCACTCTCTTTTTTGTGTGATGTCCAACCCTCTTCGTATACTTTTAATTTCACAATGGAGTTATGCTGGGAATAAAATAACTCAGCAAAATAATGCAATTCAAACCAAAGAATACTGAAAAAGTGCCTTTTCTCTCCCAATTTGGTGTGCAAAGCGGGTCTCAGTCACCTGCAGCCCCTTAGGGACCAGGTGCTGCTCCGAGCGGCGCAAAGCGGCTTCTGAGTTTCAGGAGTTGCCTAAAGAATCCTCAACTTTATCAAAGGAAAACCTGCCCTGGTCCTTACACAACAAAGGCAGTGATGACCGCCAATGACGGGAGGCCTCCGAGTCACCTGTGCCCCTGGCCTGGGGCCTCGCCCACCAGCCACTGCTTTGTCTCCCCAGTGCACCCCCTGCACCACCGAGGCCTCTCGGACCTTCCGGACAGCCCTGCTCTTTGCGCCTGTTGAGTCTGCACTCGCCGTCGGGAGTCACTGCTGGCCCTGCTCGGGAATCGAGGGGGGCTCACGGGGGCAGCTCCCCAGCTCCTGGTCTGCGTCCACGGCAACTGACGGCCACCGTGCAGCTCTCCACACGGCTGTACAGACTCCGGGACCAGGCCGGGTCCTGGGTCTCACTGGTCACAATCATTCGTTCGCACGTGTTTCATCCCCCTCCACTAAGTCTCCCAGAGACAGAAATGGACTTTTGTCTTTGCACAGGGTGGCCTGAGGCCAGGCAGCCTGCCGTGAAGAGGACAACACACATGCTCGTGACACGGGTGCAGAGGGACGCCCTCACGCACACGTCAGGCCTGCAGGGCACTTTGCAGACGGTGACTGCCGGCAGCTCCACCCAGAGTCTGGGGGAAGCAGGCGGAGGGTGCAGAGAGCCTCAGACCTGCAACGACGGGCCCCTGCCTCTGCCCCCAGCAGCTGCCCGACAGGCAGAACAGACCCCGTCTCAGGACCGGTGCCCACAGAGACTGCACTAACACCCCATCCCTGTGAGCACGTGCTCTCCTGGTTGGTCTGGCTCCGAGAAAGAGCCCCCTGAGCCCCCATGACGCACAGCAGGAAAGGCAGAGCTTGGGAGTCAAAGCCCACTTCTGAGGCCCAGGCCCTTCCTGGGCTGGGCGGGCCCCCAGCTGGGTGTCCTGCTTCTGCAGACCCGGCACACCTCCCGGGGACGGGAGTCTGAGTGCAGTGAGCAGGGGAAGCACTGAGGACAGGCCGGGCCCCCGGCGACTGCCTTCCCCAGGGGCCACTGCACCCACCGCCTGTCCGTTGACTCACTCTCCTGCCGGGCTCGTGCGTGCAGGCTGCTGGGGGTCCTGGAGCTTTGGGGTGAGAATTCCTTAGTCTCGGCCTCAGCCTTCTCGTCCAGCGCCTCTTTCTCTGGGCCACGCTGGAGGTTTCCTCTACCCGCTGCCCCACGTCCCCTGGGCCAGCGGGCTCTGTCTCCACTGGGACGCCCGTTTGCAGGCGGTGCGGCCTCCTGACAGGGTCCCCTCGGGTGGCAGTGTGGCATGCCCAGCACAGTGACTCTGCCCAAAGTCTCGTTAATAATTACCGGGAGGGGGGAGCGCTGAACAGAAAACCAGGTGGAATGGCAGCTGGGGTGCCTGGCTGGGACGTGCCGAGGGCTGAAGGTCACGGGCAGGCCAACACCCAGCAGCCCCGGAGTGTGAGGGCGCTCGCTCCCCGGGACACGGGCTGCAGCGGCCGAACACAGCGCCTCCGCCGGCGGCTGGACAGGGCCGCACAGCCCACGGCACCGACTCAGTCACGCGGGGCTCAGGGAGTCTCAAAGCGGGACCGATGAGCATGGATGCCACAGGCCTGTGCACTGGGTGTCAATGTGGCTTTGCTTCGTGATGACTGACCGTGAGACACCCACAACTCTTACGTAAAGAGCGTAATCAAACCTGGTTTTGGAAGCACTGATGTTCTGTTTTGGTGGTAAATTACTGTGTTCAGTCTCTTCAGAAGCTGAATCTATATACTAACAGGTTATATTACAAAAGCATCCTGAGATCTTCGAAGCAAACTGCACGCTGAAAATCACACAGGACGACTGGGAAACCAACCCCCAGCGTGGACGACGCCCCACGTCACAGCCTGAGTGTCCCGGGTTCTTCCCAGCGAACCTCCGGGTGCTCTGCACGCGTTCCCGCCACTCCACACTGGGTCTCTCTGACGGACCCGGGGCGGGCCTTGTACCCACCCACCCCACCCCCACCCGCAGGCTGTGTGCACCGTGCCCTGCACGAGAACAGCTCTCTCTTCAAAATAAAATTCATTCTGCCGGCCACAGCTATCTTCTCACAGGTGCACACCCTTCAAATGCCTCGCTGGACTAAATGAATTGATTTGCTCTGAACCTGAATCCGAGGACGTGTATGAAGCAATAAGGTAACTGGAGATAACAGCAAGATGACGGCTCTCTCTGGGGAAGTTAGAGTCACCTCCCGGACCCCAAAGACCACCCCCCAGAGGAAATCAAGTCCTGGTAATTCCTAGAGCCATTGTTATCAGTGGTCAGATACACGAGCCCGAGTTAATTGTAATATTCCGTCATTAACAAGGTTTTCCACGTTACCACAATCCTCCCTTCCTAAGGACTTTCATTTGACCAATCATGCACACTAATAAATTACTTTATATTTTATATTAATGTTTTTGAATCTCTCCGAAATTTAAAAGTAACAAAACTTCAACATATCCTTCAATTTTATCTGTCAAGAAAGCTCATCCCATGATCTTAAAAAAGATACTACTCCTTTCCAAACTACACCAACTAGAATATACTTTTGACAATATCTCATACAACTCTGTCATACAGCATTTTTTAAAAACCTCACTGTAAACCAAAAAGCAAAACAACACACACAAAAACGCCACATGCGCTAACACAGTCTAATTACTCTTCTTCCCACGTGAAAAATCGTCTCCCCCAAATTTCCTGGGATCTCTCAGACGCAGCCTGTCCCCAGCGATAGGAAGCATGGGCGATGCACACCGGTCTGGGCTGCGTGTCGTTAATCATCATTAACTGATTGTTAACAAGCGAAAGAGGAAACCCCCTGTCGCACAAGAAAAATGAGTGACCAAAGATAACCAATTACCTAGCTAAACATTTATTAGTCCCTGGCATTGGTATCATTTAATCATCACTAGTTATACTACTCAGCGTAATAATGACCACATCCGGATATGTAACCAGAAATACTGATCATCTTCCCCAGCCTATCAGCTGCACCCGGGACATCAGATACGGTGAGAAAAGCCTCTGCTGAGAGATGCTGAGAGAGACGGAGAAGTGGGGGCACAAGTTCTCCAAAGAGAGTTCGTTTATTCCACAGACACTAACGGGGGGGCGGGGGGGCGTTAAACCAACAAGTGCACCGTATACACACAGACAGTAAGTGAATACACCCCGTGTCTGCTACCACTCTGTGTACCGCAGGGCTCTGTGGGAACGTGGGCAGAGGGTTATTTTCCGGGGCACTGAGGGGTGACCCGGCTGAGCAGGTGACAGTCACGCTGACACTGAAGTGGCCCTCCCTCCTGGCCAGAGGGAGGAGCGGGAGGAAGCACTGGAGGGCACGTCTCGGAGGGCAGTGTGACTCGGTGTGCTGGAGGGACCGGCACGGGGAGGCCGGGCCGGGGGTCACACGTGCTATGATCGCACACACGTACCACAGCAGCGCGCCCAGGCCACGCTCCCACGGAGCTGGGGGGAATGAGTGCAGTGGGAGTGGACACGGGGCTGGACCAGGCGCCAGACGTGGCCTGAGTGTGGCAGTGCCAGGGAGCCAGGGGCCGGAGTGGGTGTGAGGAGTTCGGGCCAGGAGACGGCGAGCTGCAGGTTTGGCCTGCACGCCGGAGGGGCAGTGCAGCCCCTCGCTGGGAGACAAGGCTGAGGGACAAGTGGCTCCGGGTAGAAACGAAGGCTGCGACAGGTGCGGGGCCAGTGGCCAGCAGTGGGTGGGAAGCAGTGGCCACAACCCTGCTGGCGGGCAACCTCAGTCGCCATCGTCCTCTGGAGGGCGAGGACTCTGCGTCCAGCAGCCACTAAAAGCCCCTGGTCAGCTCTGGTGGTGAGGAGGCTGTCCCCTCCCATGTCAGAGAGGAAGGCGAGGCCTGCGGGCCTTCAACCAGGCACCCCACTCACAAGTACGCACGAGGCCACACGCGCCTGGCTCTCCGACCCTGTGTGAGCTCGGAGCTCAGGCTCTGAGCATCCCTCTGTGCAGCTGCCTCGGAACTGACCCTGGGACTGAGCACTGGGGGCGCTGGGGGTTGGACAGGGGTGGGGTGGGGTGGGAGAGGCATCACTGGGGTGCACTCGTCTCAGCGAGGGTGTGGGGGAACGCGGGACAAACACATCTTTCTGGGAACTCTGCAATGCAGGGGGGGGTGGTCCGCAGAGGGACAGAAGGCCTGCCAGGCTGGCTGGTTTGCATTTGCCCTGAGGATGGAAGCAGTAACCCACGGCCCCTTGGCCTCTCGCTGTGGCCGTGGCGAAGGGAGCAGAGAGGGGCAGGGGATGGAGGGGGCTGGCAGTGACAACAGTGCGGCTCAATCATCAGATAGGAGACAAGGACAGATTCGGGGAGCTGGACACCCTGCGGGCGTCTGGGAAGTCCTTTTCTGAGTCCTTCCCTGCTTACAGCGAAACAGGAAGCGGCGGAGTGGGGATGGGGGAGAAAGTGCTGGAGGTTCGGGAGAAAATGAAGCAAGCGGGCGCAGGGCAGGGGAAGGGCAGGGGAAGGGCGGGGCTGGCGGGGCTGGCGGGCCCCCCCCGGGCAGCGTGCAGGGGGAGGCGCCGGTCGTGATCGTGAATTAAACCCGAGTGTGGCCTTGCGCCCCCCAAACAGCTGCTGCTCTTTCGCTGAAGTGAACTGTCTAGAGGAGAGCATCGCATCGAAGTCTCCATGAAGACCCCCAAACAGCAGCCCTGCCGATGCTCTGTGACGAGCGCTGGGCAAAGCCAGTTTATCAAAAGAAGGGAGCTGAAGGGGCAGCTTTATTTCATAAAGAAAGTAGTTCTGCAAGATCAGCTGATGAGGGGGAAGGTCATGGCCTTATCATGTCCAGAGTCCTACCCCCTCAACTCAGGCCCCTGGGAGACGGCCTGACCCTGTCTCAGGGTCACCCTCATCACCCCCACAGGCTCCCTCCCCAGGATGTGGTACCCAGCGGGCTGTCACTGGGGCTGCCTCGAGGCTGGCCATCCACCTCACTCCCGGGCTGGGCGACCCCGAGACAATGGAATCCTTGCCCCACAGGGGCAGAGAGCCGTGTTTCTGCCATGGGTCTGGCTGCCTCCCTCTGCCTCAGGCAGCCAAAGCCTTACCCTAGACACCTTCAAGTCCACAAATAATAATTAGGGCCCAAGGCTGGTCATTATTCCTTCCTCTGATCACTCCCAGAAAGTCTCAGAACTGCACCGGTTACGATCCTCTTCCATTCCACTGTACGTCAGGAAAGTGAACACGCCACAGCCCTGGTCACACAGTGACCACAAAGCAAAACACCATGTGACGTTAGCTGGAAACTTCCACTGCTTGGAACCAGTCTCAGTCAAAAGTAAATATTTTTACTATTTCTCTGCCGCCACCCTTCTACAGTTTGTAGTTCTGTAAAAACGGAACTAAATCCATTATCCCGTAAACAAGGGTACTAAAGCAGTGAGAACACAGGACAAACATCCAAAATGGCCCGTCACCTTCCAGGCCTCAGGGGACAGGTCCAGAGGAGGGAAGGAGAGAAGGAAAGCTGATGGGGAAAAATTATCCCTCAGCTCGAGAAATGGCAGTAATGCAAAAATAATAATGATAATAAAGACACATACATCTCTGGGTCCCACACACCGAAACCTAAATTCCTGCTGCCCTGAAAATGAACTGCACGGTGGGGAGACCCGGTGGGGCACTTGTCCCAGGACGAGGGAAAGGGGGGCACCCCCAGCACACGTGTCATCATGGCGACAGGACGTCGGTCTACGGCACACAAGCCGGGTCGTCCTTGGTTTTCGGTAGATGTCCTGGCCGACGCCAGTGTCACAGCGTGACCCGAGTCACTGGTGGGCCACACGTGGCCACATCCCGCCGTGATCAGGACAGGGGCGTGGAACAAAACAAAGGAAGGCTGTCGCCCCGGGCAGGGCTGTCCCCCTCAGCCGGTTAAAATAACGCTCCGAGAGCCGCCACACTGGTCCGAGACATCAAGAGCACGAGGGCCTCCGCACCGTCAGGCCATCTCTCTCTCACCGCCTCGCACGCTCAGGGTGGAGGCCAGGGGAAGCTGCCCCCCACCCGCCCCCAATGGCAGGCACCAGGTCCCCCGCACAGGAGCAGCAGCAGGGGGCAGGAGGAGGGACAGCGTGAAGAGGGAGGCCAGCCAGGCGGAGAATCCTGAGGTCCGCTGTGTGGCGGCCAGCCTCTCCGGAAACAATCGCTCTCCGTCCTGGCCCCCGCCGCCGCCCGACCTCCCCCGCTGGTGAGCCAGCGGGAGGCAAACATGAAAGTGCCTGGCTTTTTCCCTGGCAACTCAGGACTGCTCAAAACTGTGAATTTCAAAATTACAACACGCGTGACCTCGTTTTCAGAGGTGTTTCTTTCGCAGTCTTTGCTGAGAGCGAAGTAACAGGAAATGAGGGTGCTCGTGTCCGTGTGCGGAACTGGCACTGGGCCAGGTGTACATCTAATAGATGCCGCGTCCTGTAGTCTTGGTAACTCATGACCGTCGCACGGGACAGAGAGTCGACTTAAGAACGAGAACAGGCATCCTGACCTTGAGTGCTGGCTTTTTCCACGCTGCAGGGTCTCGTCTCCGAGCACTGAGAGCCAGGCGGGGACCACGGGAAGCGGGGCGGGGCCCAGTCCGGGGCGGGGCCGGCTGTGCCCTGCTTGTCTGCCCGGGTCCCAGCTGGCTCGGGGGCATTTCCGGATGGGGCCCTGCTGCGCGTGAGCACGGCTGTCCACAGGGCCCCCGCCTCAGTGGACAGGACTCCACTCCAATCGGCAGGGCAGGTGAGGGGCAGGTCCGCAGGAGAGGACACCAAGGTCTTGGAAATGCCAGAAGAGACATACAGTACAAGAACCCTCAGGTTGCTAAGAAAAGATGCTACATTTGAAAACAGGGTAGGAGACCTTCACAGAGAGAGGGCATTTTGGATGGATGCCACCCTTTGAAAGGTGGGTAGGATTTCTGACATTGGAGAAGGTGGGGGCGGGCCTGAGGCGCGAGGAGCAAAGTCACAGGGGCCGTTTTCAGAGCTAAGGCACCTGCCAGTGGGCAGTGTTTCCGGAACCACCCCTCACAGGCCCGGATCTGGGAGGAGTCAGTGGATGTCCTACAGGCAGAGAAAGAGGGCCCCGTGGTCAGGACGGGGTGGAGGACGCTGCCCCGACGTCCCCTCCTCCTGTGAGAGAGGCCAGCGTGCAGGTGCCTCAGAGGCTCCGAGGGAGGACCAGCAGGGGTTTCCCCCACGCCTCCCAAACCTCTGTGACCCCAGAGCTCTTCTGAAAGGCCCACCAATCCTTCCCACGATTTCAGGGTGACCCTCTAAGCAACACCGAGCCAGGCCGAGCAACGCAGCCTTTGTGGAGAGAGTTGCCACACGAGGACGTCCACCTCAAACACCACCGGACACCAGCAGAGCTGGGTGGAGGCCACGCACCCACGTCACGAGTTTCAAGGGCGTGTGTTCGTTTCTTACTAAAACAGTTACCTCGTTTTGAGTTAGGGAAAACCAAGCAACTGCCTGAAAGGAAAAGCACCAACTGGTCAGAGAGCGAGAGAAGTGGCCCTGATGGGAGGCATTTGGGGACAAGGCAGGGTCACCGGCCAAAGCGGAGATGGGCACAAAGTCCACGGACACAGCCACCTCTTTGGGCTCCCCTCCCTAAGCCTAATGTTAACCCTCAAAATCTCTCAAGGTCACTCCATTGCCGTTAAAAGCGGAAGCTGCAACTTTGTTTGCACTTCTGCACGTGGGACACACTATTCTGAAATACTACCTGAAGAGTAAGCCACGCCCACCCAGGCCCGGGCGCTTCCGCCGGCCCTCGCGAGAACACATCACCTGGGGCTGGAACTGAGGAGCAGGTGGCCCTGGCATGCCTTGCGATTGTTCATCCATCGTCCGAAGCAGCGGGAACTTCACGGACCTGCAGAAATGCAAAGTTGAAAGTTAAGTACCGGCATCAGCACCAATTCACATGGCTCACCATCCCAGATCAGAGAACCACCCAGCCCTTCGAAGGGAGCCCATGGGACGGCCACGCCCTCCTGCCTGCCACTCGCCGGCCCTGAGCGCCGACCGGCGAACCCAGCACCCACCGCCACGCCACGCCCAGTCTCCACAGCAATGCGCCTGCTCAGCAAATCCTGGGGGGCGAGAGGAACTTCTCTCTGCTGAGTCTGGCCTGACAGACCAAGAGGCTTCCCTCCCCGACCCATGATGTGGGAAACACGCCCAGCCAGCTTCCTGCAAACTGCTCGGGACCTGGCACGCCCCACACGCACCAGGATGTCCCAGGCCGCAGACGGGGGCCTGCGGCTCTGCGTGTCCGAGCCAGACGCACACTGTGACGCACACTGTGACGGCCAGGGTTGGACGGACCGGGCCAGGCCTCCAGGAGGGTGTCTCCTCTTCCGTGTACACACTGCTGGTGATGTCGCCTCCACCCCATGAGTTCCCCAAACATGAGCTGAAGGCCGGCTGAGTGGCAGGCCCCACGCAGGACACGGAAACCGAACTGCAAATGCGACACGGCCCCGCCCTCCACGCCGCTTCCGCGCCGTCCCCACGCGAGTCTGAGCTCTTCACAGCTAAGCCCTGCAGGGTCGAAACTGGCACCCAGGTCAGTGGGATTAGCTGACGGGGTAACAAACACACACTGTCACTTCATTATTCTCCTCACAAAGTGACAAAAACATCCTGGACGTGGGTCCTCGGTGTTACATGTATTTTCTTCCACCCTGTGTCCCTCTAAAACCCTCCCAGTGGCGGCTTCCATTAACTGAGGACGAGAAATCCATCCTTCCAACGTGGTCCAAAGAATCGGCCTCCCCCCAAGATGAAGGCTTCCTCAAGTCACCGGAGAACCCTCCCTACTCTGACCTCCGTGTCCCCTGCCCTACGCTTCTCTACTTGACCTTCGTGTTCAGGTGTGAAGTCCACCTGGCCCGCAGCGGTGTGCATGGCAGCGGGGCCCGCGGAGCCCTCCAGTTTGCCTGCCTGCGTCTGCCCCGCACACCGCGAGAGGCACGCAGGGGTCAAGGTGCACGCCTTGCTTCGTCGAGGGCACGTGTCACCACAGCTGTGTGACAGCTAAGGAGCCCATGGGAGAGTCCAGCGTGGCCCAGTGCCGAGCCCCCTGGGCTCCACAGAGGCGTCCTGGGGCTCTGCAGAGACCGCCCATCCTGCACACCCACGGAAGGGCATCAGGACCCCGCCCCTGCTCTGCACCCCCAGAGGTGTGTGGGCCCCACTTCAGAGCAGAGGCCTCGTTCAAGTCCCAGAGTCATCGTCCTTTTGCCCTCTCCCGTGGCCCCTGCACCCAGCCAGCACATCAGTCGGGGCCACTGGCTCTGTGGCTGAAATGCCCCTGCTTCTCCACGGTCCTGTCCCCGCCGCCAGGGCCCCCAGCGGGCAGCACTGAGCCCCCCAGGCAGACACTGCCGCCCCAGCCCACGTGGCTGCCCCTCTTCTCCCACCGTTCTCACAGCAGCTTCCGAAAACACGAATCACTATAGGGCACCTCCGTCATCCTGAGACTAAACCCGACTCCTCGCCAAGTGCCACTCCTGTCAGCGATGGCCTGCCTGCCCCACAAGCCCACCCGGGGCCCTTCACTGACCCCCTTCCACACACATGGCCCCTGCTCTGGGAACCTCTGCCCACCTTGGCGGTGTCAGGGCCTCCTCTGTCCTCCTGTCCTCTGGACCCCGAACCCCTGACTGCCCCATCCTCCCCAGGTCAGACTGGGCCCCGCCCCGAGCACCCCTCCCATGCTCAGACTCCTCCTTCCACAAGCAACAATGACAACCTGTAATCACCGGGTTCAGTTTTGGCACTTGTTTGCTGTCTGTCTCCTCGGCTACCACGCCGGTCCCACGAAGGCAGGAATGTGTCCCTTTCTCCCTGCTGTGTCCCCAGCAAGCGCCCGGCATGCAGCAGTGCCCACTGTGCACCTGCTGAGCGAGGGACGCGTGACTGGGCTGAGGACGACAGGACAGACGCTCCGGTTCTGGGTGGCGAGGCCGTCTGCCAGGACCAGTAACTGAGTAGAAGTGGGCGGGGACAGGAAAGGCAACCCCATGGGGACCAGGCAAGGAGTAAACTTTGGAACCAGGGGGGTGTCGGGCAGGGCCCGGGGTGGGATGAGAAGGACCGCAGGCGTCCGGCTGCTGCGGGGATCTCGGCGGGAGAGGCCTCGCCTCCTGCCCGCCAGCTCTTTCTTAGTGGGAGCTTCTGGGTGTGTTCAACGCGGCTAAGACGCATGCCCTGAACTCTTCAAGAGCGCCACATGTTTTGACATGCATTCACCAATTTGGCACGTGGTAAAAAGTGAAACAATCTTCCCCTATTCTTGTGTACAGTCATATAACTTGCAAAAACTAACACTATGTAATTAGGAATCTGAATTTCAGATATAAAAGCTAGCTCAATGAAAAAGCTGCTTAGTTTTAAGAAACTATATCAGTGGGCTACATTTTCAATATTCACATGATCCTGGTAAATATTTACAAATTTAAACACAGTATTCCATATATATTATAAATTATATAATGAATACTCTAGTCCTCAGTGACACTGTGGCAGATGGCCATCTTATTTTGAGCACTGAAATAGCATCACAGCACGGTAATTGTACGTACCTTTCACCTTTCCTAGTTCTCAATTTATAAAATTTCTAAAGCTGAGATCGTTATAAGCAAATTAAATCATTCTGTATACTTTTCCCAATTATTTGAACAACCACAGCTAATATATTCACCATAGCCAACATACTAATCAAAGTAAGAAAATTTACATTTACTTTGTTCAATATCCTCTGAGATACTGAATTTTAAAATTTCTACAGAAATTGACTTAAAATAAACCAACATACATTTCAGAACACTAATCTGATTCTTTATCAATTATAAAAGACTAGTGAAACAGCCCTGGCTGACATAGCTCAGTGGATTGAGCGCAGGCTGCGAACCAAAGGGTCTCAGGTTCGATTCCCAGTCAGGGCACATGCCGGTTTGTGGGCCAGGTCCCCAGTGGGGGCCACACAAGAGGCGAACATACATTGATGTTTCTCTCTCTCTCCCTCCCTTCCCCTCTCTAAAAATAAATAAATAAAAACCTCAAAAAAAAAGAGTAGTAAAACATACAATACAGTAAAAAAAAGATGAGGCTTAAATATATATTTGAAAGAAAATCATTTGGTGCATTTTATTTGCACCAAATATACACTATTTTTTAGAAAAGTGTATTATATATACACATATATACATGTATACACAAACACACATACATAACTAGCTATTGGATAGAAAGCATTTTAAAATAAGAGTTAATATAAAAAAATGCTTGGCTAAAGGAGACCAGTTCCCTCATGTTACATCACAAATTTCTTACCTAAAGACACAAAGGTCAACCCTACAACCTTGCAAATGCAACTTCTAACTCACAATTTAGAGTAAATCCGATTTAACGAACAAAGGCTATGCCTAGATTCCACTCATTTCAAAGCACTTCCTGCTTGCAGACATGTATTTTAATAGCTCCATCATGTTGCATGGTTTCTCTATAGATTCTTGACCCAACATGAAATCTTAAATATGAAGCTACGCACACACCAGTCTGAGGAGAGATTTCTGATGAACAGTTTTCGGAGTTTTTCTCTGCTTTATGTTTTTTGGAGCTCTAAAGAACTGAAGTACACTAGTTCGCACTTACTAGTTTTCTTTTCTTGCAATGAAGTTGCCCTTCAATCATCAAGGTTATTCACAAAATCTTGAGTCACATATATATCTAATGTCTATGAGAAAATGTTGATGTTACATTTTATTGATCAAAGTAGCTACAGTGTATGAAGAGCAGTAAGAGGACTGACCGCATTAAAATAGCGCTACTGCTCTCGTCCAGGAGAAAGTCGCGGGCCTAGCACTGTGTACGTGCAGCACCTCAAAACTGCAAAAGGGCACCTCGGAAATGTCGAGGTGACTGGTACTTGGCAGGCTGACTACTCAAAGGCAGAACTAAATATTTTTCTTGGCCCCAAACTCACCATTCAGCAGGACTGTTCCTGACCTCGCCCTCTGGTCTCCACTCAATGGACTGAGTCACGCAGTGTTTCCCATCATTAGGCGCAGATGAGGCCACATCCAACCAGACACAGCGCTGAGTGGAGGCACTGGCATCAGTAGTTCATTCGCGCACTTCTGCTCTCATGAGTCACATTTAAGAGCGGCGAAGATCGCTATCAGGTCTTTGAAGGGAATGATTTATGCTTCTGGAGTGTCGAAAGCATCTCACTGACAGCGAACACCATGGAAGTAGCCCGGTGCCCAGCCGCACTTCGAGCCGGCCTCCCCCTCTCACAGCCCGGCCCTTCGGAGCAGCCAGCAGGCTGACCACTGGCCAGAGGCTGGGAAAGGACCAGCCGCCCGAGTGGGCGGGGACCGCGGTGCGCATGCTCTAAGGGACACAGCCGGTGGAAACTTGCTCCCACTGGCCACACGCAGAACAATGTTAGAGTAACATTATAACCCACGGAATAAAATAAAACCCATGAGTCATAAGGATATAAATCAATAAAGAGAGGAAAAGGGAGAAACTCTTCTGTACCAGATACTGTCACCTTATAAAGAAAAAATGAGACGGAATTAAAAAACCACTCTTTGCCAGTCTTTGGGGAAATACCTGATCCAGGTGAGAATCATAGATGGATGTTAACTAGTGGAGCAAGTTATTTAGAGCATCTGAAAGTATCTCCTTCCACCACACACACACACACAAATTACTTATTAATTACAAGGGACAAGACGATCCCACCACAGAGAACCCCGCAGACCTCAGCTCAGCCAGAAAGTCAAGTTGAATAGACACCTCTTGCCTCCGAACACAAGCTCCGTAGAAGAAAACGCGTCTGTGCTATTCTTGCCAAAC